CAAGTGCAGTGTATAGTGCCCAATTGGAAAGGTTAGCCCAAGCTTGAAGAGAAAAAGAACCCACGCTGATTAATCGGAAGGGCGTAATTCTTCACCACGATAACGCACGGCCACATACTGCAAGAATCACTGCTGAAAAACTGCGCCAGTTGGAATGGGAAGTTCTCCCTCAACCTGCATATTCTCCTGATATTGCCCCTTCCGATTACCATTTGTTTCATTCTTTGCAAAACTTTCTTCTTGGAAAAAAATTTAATAATGAAGAATGCCTCAAAAATGCATTGACCGAATTTTTTGCATCAAAATCACAGGAATTTTACAACAGAGGGATTAAAATGCTTCCTGAGCGTTGTGCACAAGTAGTAGAAAACAATGGCAACTATATTGTTGATTAAATTTTGTTGTATTGTTTAAATAAATTCGATTTAAAAAAAGTATTAGAAAACGACATTAATCATTACTAGACCTAATAACATGTCTTAATGCTTAGTTGTATCAATAAACATTATAGCCGGCTGGTGTGGCTTAATGGTTGAGCATGAACCTATGAGCCAGGAGGTCACGATTTGATTCCCAGTCAGGGCACATGCCAGGCTTGCAGCTCAATCCCCAGTAGAGGATCTGCAGGAGGCAGCTGATCAATGATTCTCATTATTGATGTTTTTATCTCTCTATCCCTTGCTCTTGCTCTCCAAAATTGATTTAAATATATATCTATAACAATAAAAGGGTAATATGCTAATTAGACCAGATGTCCTTTTGGATGACCTTCCAGACGAAGCCGAGCTACCAGGGAAACCCGGGTCCTAGGTGCCAGAGAGAAGCTGGTGCTGGCAGCTAGGTGAAGGAAGGCCTACTCTTGCACAAATTTCGTGCATCGGGCCTCTAGTATTTAAAAATAAAAGTAAACATTATAAATATTCATGCAAAAGTAGGGGAATACGTATAGAATGGGAGGGGTCATAGTCATTCCTACAACTCAGTAGCCAAGGTTTATGCCATACTACCATTTTAAACCGTGCTTCTGATTATTGGGAAAACAGGTTGCCTGTAGCTATGTAATTCATTCTTCAAGTATTTCTTGGGTTTCTACTATATATTCAGCCCTGTGGACTCTAACATAAATTTGTAGAAGTTATGGCCCATGCCCGTAAGATTTTCTTATGAATGTTACATGTATTATTTCTAGCTTTAAATTTTGGATCACCTGATGTATTTTCTTTATGTACCCATACACCTTATTGACATTCGGGAACATTTCTTTATTATTAAGAGAATCATAACAATCTGCTGGCTAAGCAAGCTATTGCTACTAGTACGTATAGTGGAAGGAAGGAAAGAAGGAATTTCCCTTGATGAATGGAACTGCCATATCAATCTGAGTCCCTTATGTAATAAATAATGTAATAGTTTTTATTTAGAAGTATAAATATCTATATTCTTATACAGACTAAATAAAATTATAAGCTGTGCCCCCAAATATATATATGTGCATGTGGATATATACATGTGTATATTTGTATTTGAACCTTAAAAGCAGGACTTATTCTGAAGTGAAACTATACCAGCCCTTTAAAAATTTAAAAAAAAAAAAAAAAAGAAAACTTTCTGCCCTAACCAGTTTGGCTCAGTGGATGAAGCGTCAGCCTGCGGACTGGAGGGTCCCAGGTTCGATTCCGGTCAGGGTCATGTGTCTTGGTTATGGGCACATCCCCAGTGTGGGTGTGCAGGAGGCAGCTGATCAATGTCTCTCTCTCATCGATGTTTCTAACTATCTATCCCTCTCCCTTCCTCTCTGTAAAATATCAATAAAATACATTAAAAAAAAAAAAAAGCCAATTTTCATACCCTGTCCAGTGTGGCTCAGTTAATGGGCCTCATCCCAGGCACCAAACAGTTGCTGATTCAGTTCCCAGTCCAGGCATATGCAGGGGTTGCAGGCTTGGTCCCCTCTAGGGGGTGTTCAGGAGGCAATCAATCTACGTTTTGCTCTCGCATCAATGTTTCTCATTCCTCCTCCTTTCTTCTATCTCTAGGAAAATAAAATAAAATTTAAAAAACATGTTTATGTCGAAATTATTCCAAACAGGCCCAGAATCAACTTAAGAGTAAAAAATTTGGGCGGTTGGGAATAACAATTTATTTTTCCCTAGCTTGTGATAGATTAATAACATGGAGTAGAAAAAGTACATTTAGTACCAAATGTCACTATGCTTAGTTGTGGTTTGTGCCAGTGATCTTGAAAGAGGCAGCATGGCCATCATAATAGTATAAGTGAAATTTCCCTGAAAGAATGAAACCTTAATTTCAAAGGAGAACAATATGTACAGATAGAGATATGTAAAAACTATTAACGTCTCACCTGACAAACCCTGCATTAGGTTAATTTAAAAACGTGTTAAAACAATTGCTGACTACTGCCAGAGATGTTTGACTTGAACAAGAGAAATCTTGAAGTCTCATCTGCAAGCAGTAGCTGTTCTGGGGAGACGAGAGTTGCACTCACTTCAGGGTCCAGCCAGATTCTTCCTGAGTGGTCTGGACAGGTGCAAAAGCCAGGCTGCAAGCCTACTTTCATCTTAACGCTTTTTCCAACAGGCAGCCTTTTGTTCTTGTCACTCAAAAAGTAAAGATTTCTTTTTTAACATTTGCCCTACATATAAATATACCTGCTCCTGTTTAAATAAAGAGAACCCTGGGCAACATTTTAAATTAGCCACATTCAGTTGCTGAATTTCTAACCCAATGGTATGTAATGCAATCAGAAAAATAAGATTCACTGAATTGCATGTTTCTATAGGAAAATGAACTGCTTCATAATCATTTATCCCCAGTACAAAATTTCATAGTCCCTTAAGTATCTTTCTTCATTGCATTTGAAGATATCTTGAGGGATGAACATTTTAATCTCCATACTCACATACATACTAGTGACCTGGTGCACAAAATTTGTGCACATTAAAAGGGAATTAATTAGAGGAGATAATTTAATGTTGCTATTTGCCCTTTCTCTATAATAGAAGTGCCAGAGATGAAGGAAAACAAGTAAAATGTATATGAAAACCTTCCTCCTGTCAGAGTCTGGGGCTCACCACAAGACCCAGAGTCAAGTCCCCACCCATCACCCACATGCTCCTCAAAATCCCGTGAGACACAGACCGGGCTACCTCTCCTACCTTGTTGGGCTAGATCCAGACCCAGCCAATCCCACCCTTGTCCAGCCCTGCCAGGCAGGGGGCATAGCCTCAGGTCCTCTGGCCCAGCGCCAGGGTGGGGAGCGTGGCCTGAGGTTCCCCAGCCCAGACCGGGGTCCTCTGTAAAGCCTGCCAGATGGGGGACATGACCTGAGGTTCCCAGCCCAGCCTTGAGGTCCTCCATAAAGCCCGCCAGGTGGGGGACATGACCTGAGATGCCCTGTCAATCCCCACTGGGTCGGGGGCATGGCCTGAGGTCCCCTGACAAGCCCCACCAGGCAGGGGGTGGGGAGGGTAAAGTCTCAGGTTCCCTGTCAAGCCCCATGGGATGGGGATGCAACCTGAGTTCCCCCGACCCAGCACTGGGGCTGCACCTTGAGGTCCCCTGTCAAGCCCCACTGGGTGGAGGGCACGGCCTGAGGTTCCCTATCAAGCCCTTTGGAGAAGGAGGAGGGCGTAGCCTCAGGTCCCTGCTGATTGCTCATTAAGGCTCCTCATGGGAACTTGGCCTCAGCTGTGAGTGCAGCCATCTTTGTGTTGGAGTGATGGTCAATTAGCATATTCCTCCTTTATTATATAGGATTCTAAGCTCTAAATATCCAGTGAATATAAAGCTCTCAGTAAATGGGCTCTCTTTTGAATCATTCATTTTAAAATATCAGGTGGTATGAAATCTTTTAACTCTACATAGTTCTATCTTTATTATGAACTATTTATTTTAAATGTATACTACATTGGTTTATGTCAATACTATGTACCCAATACCCAGGACTTCAGAATTGACACCTGCTACATTTATCTCTATAACTGCTGCTGCCTCCAAAATGTCTTAAAAACAAACTCCAGACTTTCTGTTATCTCACCTCACATATTTCCCAATACATTAATCTATGAAAAATATGGTTATCTTCTTACATAATCACAATACCATATTCACATCAAACAAAATTAACAAAAATCAGATTTCTGGGTATCATTAGGCATTATCATTGAGATATGAAATACTTTATTAGTCCTGACTAGAATTTATGTTGTTGACTGCCCACAGTGGCCTCTACCTGGCAGCAGAATTTTCCAGTCTTATTTTTTCCATTTCCCTTAGAACTAGTTTATGCTGCCAGAGATGTGTTACTTTGTGTTTAACATTTTTATATCATAAATTTTAAAGATATATTTTTATTATTATTCATAAGTGAATTATAGTAAATAACAAGATCAGTTCTGTATTTGTGAATAGTAGGTCTTTATTATGAGACATCTATTGTCTATATACATTGTATTTATGAATAATGAATTTTTACAATCTGCTGGCTAAGCATGATTTTGCTACTAGTACGTATAGCAGAAAGAAGGAAAGAAGAAATTTCCCTTGATGAATGAAAAGGGTCCTTAGGCCTGGCCATCAATCAGGGTCGACCTATAGGGGGACCAGTGGAACAATTGCCCTCTTCTCCCCCCAGCTGGCACCCACCTTGGCTGGCATGGCACTGCCCCTGCTGCCTCCACCTGTTACCTCCCTCTGCGAGTTGACCAGTAGGATGACCAGGGCCGGCCTGGGGCTTGTGGGTTGGGGGCAGCTCCTGCATTAGGTGTCTGCCCCCTGGTGGTCAGTGCACATTATAGCTACCGGTCATTCCACCTGTTGTTCTGCTGTTTAGTCAATTTGCATATTAGGCTTTCATTGTATAGGGTTCTATTCTAAAATGTTCTTTTGTCACTTTAACAAACATATTAGCTCAAAATACTGCATTGTAGTATTTACCTGCCTATTATTTAAATTCCAACACTTATGTGATTTTTCAACAGTGATTCTTTTCACGCACACCGAGATAGTATGCGACAGATGATGAGAAGTTTTTCTGAACCTTTCGGAAGAGACTTGCTTGGCGTCTCGGATGGGAGAAGTGATAGTAGAAGAAGAGCTCGTAATTGTTCAGGACGCGATGATGGGGAACATTTTCTGACTGTAAGTTCTTTATTTTAAAGTTAGTGGGAATTTGCAGAAAGGTGTTATTTGAAGAATGTACCTATTATGACAGGATATGACTAATACTTATGTTCTGGAAATTACTACTCTATAATGGGAGGGACTTGTTGGAAAACTTAACCCTTTAACAATGAACTGTTAGCTATATGGAATTTCACTATGCTACCTAAACTTTTAAGATCATATGGTTATGTATTATAAGCCAAACTTAGAAGCATTGTTTCAAATGTATATGTATGATTTGTTCTCACCTTAGAAATGCTTCTCATGCCTTAAATTAGAACAGGCAAGGACATATATTTTCTGTCCCATACAATTTTCTTTGCCACTTCAAAATAGCAGTCAAAGCTATTATAGCGTAATTATCACTATTGAACCAGGAAGAGCCAATCTTCTTCATAATCAATTGACTCCTTCAAAGCCAATCTAAAGTTTTAGATCTTCAAATTTTATATTAACTTTTAACTGTATTCAAAAGTCTTGCATAATTGCAGTATATTTTCATAAGTCTTGTCTGAGAGCAAAGCTAAGTTGCAAACATACACAATAGCAACAACAAAAAATCTCAGGCCTGGCTGGTGTAGCTCAGTGGTTGAGCATTGACCCATGAACCAGGAGGTCACAGTTCAAATCCTGTTCAGATGGAGATGTATTTGTAATTCAACTGTAAGGTTCTTACTGACGCTGCCTGTTCACATCAGCTGTAAGCTGCTGGTCATTCACTGGAAATGGAACTTAATCTTTCTTTCCTGGGTATTTGTGCTTAAAACAAAAATTAGAAATTGACTGCAGCAGATGAAAGAGAGTAGTGCTAAGTTTGAAAGAGCACAGCCAAAAACAAACAAACAAAAAACAAAAAACAATGGGCTTTTTGAGCATGCTAGCTAAACTCTTAATACAAAGCTTCTCTCTTTTTGTGAAGTGAAGTTTCAAAATGAGTGTTTTGGTGGAGCAGTAAGTTATTATGCTGGTGCTTTTAAATAGACATCTTAATCCTTTCCTTTTTTCTTTTTTTGGGGGGCCCAATTCTTATGTGACATTTGTCATATTATGAGGGAAAACAGATTCCTACAAAAGTAGGAGAAGCATCAGCTATGCCATTTCCTTGGGTTTGTATTGTTAGCATTTTCTTCAGTTCATGGTTTCTTCAGTTCATGATTTCTTTATGGGGCTATTTTTAAGCCAGTTGTCCATTTTGAGAAGATTAATTTTATTTAAAACTAGATAACTTAATCTTTAAATGTACTTAATTAGGCCATTTATCATTCAAGATGTGACATGTGAGCATCTGACATTTAGATTGAGTGTTGGTACCAGAGTCAATAAAAAGAAATAAAAAGAGGAATTCTTTTTCTTTCAGTGACAAAAAATAGAAGAATTTTATTGGTGTATCCAAGACACTTTGGAGATTACTGTTGTAGATATACAATAATAAGTATATATCATTTGATATATAATTTTTAATGTAAACAGGTTTTTTTTCTATTTTTCAACATCAGTTACACAGGGGGGGGGGGGAGGAAATCACTGACTATATATATAGCTTTTACCCAGAAATTCTATAATGTTTTAAACATTTGAAACTCTCAAGTAATGAAAGTTTTTCATTTGTATACATGTGTCTAAGATTTTCTTTTTATTCTTCTTTACCTATTGAGAAGTATAATTTTTGAACTATAAATTTTTATTATTCCATCTGTTATACTCAACATTCTTTTGCCTATTGAAGGCCTTAAATACTTTTAAATCTGTGTGTGTGATCCTTTCTGAAGTCTGTATTTTTTATTTCATAAATTAGTTCTTAGGAGATATTTATTAAAAATTTTTTTGTCCAATATCTCTACTAATCTTTTGAGATGTTATTAATGTGGATAGATTTTTACTTTTAATCAGTTACAGGCAAGATGAAGTGATCTTTTAAAAATATGGAATAGCTGAGCAAAGGAAAGATGATATAATCTTAATCATTGTACATTATGTTTTAATTAATTTTGGTGTGAATTTTCTTTGAGATATGTATGTATTAAGTTATGGCAAATACTTTTAAACTGTCTTTAATAAATACTAGAGTAAGTCATATTTAAAAGTGATATATAGTGTCTCCTACTTGCCTGCCATACAATTACAATGAATAATAAGCAGGGAATTTTAAAAATATATGCTGAGTTCTATTTGATTAAAAGGTTCTGTAATTTTACTAGCACTGAACTTGTGAGTAGATAGTACATGTCTTTCTCTTCCTGGGATTATCATGTAAATATCATGACCAAAATTAATTGGCTTTTTTTCTAGGCAGTGAATTCTCTTGTGCCTTTTGGCAGTTTTGGTGGTATGGTTCGTATCATGGGACACAAGCCATTTTAGCACTGTTTCCTAACTTATTTCTTTTTCATTAACTCAAGCATATTGAATTGGCATGCAGCTTTACTTTTATAGTAGTGTCTTTTTAGTATTTGTACTAAAAACCCGTTTCACAAATTAAGTTTATTTTAGAGTGTGTTGGCATGTGTTTTCTGAAGTAAGTCCTATCCATATATATATAAAATCAGTCTGCAAAAAAAAAAGGACATTTTAATAGACGAATGGGCGTTCAGTTGATTTCCGAAAGGGATTACAAGTTGGAGACATGCTTATGATTACTTTCCAACGGGCAAAAAAGCATCAGCCCTGAGGCAGACAAGCACGTTTGGCCAAGCTCAGACCGGCTGCTTTCTCTCGGCCTCTACTGGCTATTTGTGCTGCTGCTTCTTTCCCACGTCCAGATGTGCCTGCGCTGCACCCCGCTTTTCTCCCACCGGTGTTTCTTTGGGCGTGTGTGTGTCCCGTTTTCTGTAACGCTAGTTTCTAACACCTGGGAAGGCAGTCTGAGGAGTAGCAGAGAATAGCATGACTTTGAAACATTTCCTATGGATGCATCTACACTCATGAAAAAGTTTTTTTGTTTTGTTTTGTTTTTTGTTTTGTGTGTGTGTGCATGTGTGTGTGTGTGTGTGTGTGTGTGTGTGTTTTAATTCTCTTGTGCTCAACTTCAACCATTTGTATCCTTAACATTTAACATACCTGATCAGAGTTTTCAGTGGGACAAGTGACAAAAGGAGCATGTATAGCAGAGTTATCAGTAAAATGATAGGCAGTTTAACATGCTGTGGGAACACAGATAGGAAAACCCTGTAACCCTTTGGGATAGGGGGATAGAGGTCAATCAGAGAAGACTCCACGAACCCTAAGGATTAGTAGGAGTTAGCCAGGGAAAACAGGGCGGGGAGAAGAGTCCTCAACACAGAGGAAGCAGCACCTACAAAGACCTGGAGGCTAAGGAGCGCAAAAACATTGGACCCAGAATATGAGTTGAAGAGTCGATGTAGAGGAGGATGGAGAGGTAACCAAGGACTTCTTTCAGCCTGGTAAGGACTGTGGATATTATCATAAGAGCAGAGGAAGCAGTTGATCAATTATTTTCATCAAAATAGTAATAGAGTTAGGTTCTCGTTTAAACAGATCATTGTGCTTGGGGGGGGGGGGGAATTAGAAGGGACCACAGTGGAGGCAGGGCGGCCATGAGGCTGTTAAACTGTTGTGAGTAACATACAGGATCACTTCTACTTGGGTAATGGCTGTGCTGATAACAAGAAATATCTCATTTGGCAAAATTGAATAGATAGAACTTGGTGATGGATAGAGTTACGGGAGCAGTAGAGAAAGAGAATCCCACTGAGATAAGAAACAGAACATCGATATGGCGTAGATATGAGGGCAGGAATGGCCAAAGGGATCATTTCACTTTGGGGCCTTTGGTGTTGGAGGCATTTGTGGGTTGTCCGGGTAGGTTTACCTATCTTGCAAATAGTTGGACATAGGGGTTAGAGAGAATTTGTTCATTCCTTCAGCAAATATTTATTGCACCTTCCTGTATGTCAGGAAGTATTTCTAAAATATTGGGAGGATCATGGTGAATAAGACAGCCCTACCTTCTCAGAGGTTCTTTTTATAGAGTGGGAAGATAGACGGTAAACAACAGCATGATTTCAGGTCCGAGTACTTCCAAGAACTCTGAAGGAGTTGATGAGGTGTAATGATATAGTGAGGAAGGAGAGCAGAGATTAGTTTGGATAGGGGGCCTTTCTAAGAAGGTGGTACTTGAATGCTGAGCAGAAACTACCTATGCTGAGTGAGGGGGGAGCATTCTAGGCAGAGAGGAAAGCATCTGTACAAAGTTCCTGAAGGCCTTGTGAGCCCACTGGAATCTCAGCTGTAATTTGTACCCCTACTTCTTGTCAGTCAAGGTGTTGGGCCCCCCAGAGAAGGTATTAAATACATCTTTTGATGGCGGATTTGACAGTGAATTGAGAATAGGGCAGGACATACCCAAACATCTGATCATCTCTTCTTTCTTCTCCTTCTTTTCTTCCTATTCCTTGGCCCAGCTCTTTTTTAGCTCTTTAAGAATTGTGTCTCATACAGCCTGGTTATTCAGAATACTAGAGGCCCGGTGCATGAAAATTCATACACTAGACGGGGGCAGAAGGGGGGGTGTCCCTTAGCCGGGCCTGTCCCCTCTTGCAGTGCTGGAACCCTAAGAGGCGGGAGGCAACCTGGCGATCAGGAGAAGGCGATGCCCCCATCACACCTCTGCTGCTGCCACTGCCAGCAATGCAAGCCTCAGCCAGTCCTGGTTACCTGGGCCTCGGGCAACCCTGGGCAGCTGGGCAGCTGCCATCTGAGGCTTGCCTGCACCTCAGGCCAGCCCTGGGTGGCTGGGAGGATGAGGGGACTGCGGGACTCTGGAAGCAGGTGTGCCGTGGGGCTGAGGGGACTGGGTGCCACCATCTTTGAAGGCGTGGCAGTAATTGGCATATTCCCTCCTTACTGACTGTGAGCACTGCCACTTTTGCGACAGCATCAGGATCAATTCCCTTATTCCTTCTTTATTAGATAGGATTTCCTGAATCTCTGAAATGCAGATTAATTATATTGCAGCCAAGGATGTATCAGTATCTCCTCAATGTGCATTTGTGTTCTGTACTGTGTTAAGTGCATGTTCTAAATATTAACAAAATTATGGGAATTTGGTTTTGCCATCCATTTTTTTTTTTTTACTAGCAATAAAAACACAGCAGAAGGCAAAAGCATAAATAGGCCTGTGATAACTTTTTGGTGAGTCCTAGCTTGGCACAGCAAAAGGGTCTCCAGCAGGGCTGCACTACCAGCATTGAATCACAGGGCCTGACAGGATTCGAAAGACTCCTCATGCTTAAGTGACTTGAACCAAACAATCTCTCTGTTTAATAGCAGTAGACTGTGCATTGGGTGGCACATTAGAATGTGTGCTTTACTTTTTAATTTCTGGTGAATATTCCAGTGATAAAACCTAAAATTTAGATTTTTCTAGAGCAGTTTCTCAGATGTGACACTGCTGACACTTTGGGCTGATTTAAAAAAATATATATTTTATTGATTTATTTCAGAGAGGAAGGGAGAGGGAAAGAGAGTTAGAAACATCGATGAGAGAGAAACATCAATCAGCTGCCTCCTGCACACCCCTTCCTGGGTATGCGTCCACAACCAAGGTACATGCCCTTGACCAGAATCGAACTTGGGACCCTTGAGTCCAAAGACTGATGCTCTATCCACTGAGCCAAACCGGTTAGGACAATTCTTTTTGTTTTTTTAATAATTATAAAGTCAGTGTGTCTTTCACTCTTTATTGTTGAAAGTATTACAGAGGTCCCCTTTTTCCCTCATTGATCTCTCTCACCCTGCCCTGCCCCGCCCCTCCACCCAGGCTTTCACCACTCTGTTGTCTGTGTCCATGTGTTATGTATATACACATATGAGTTCATTGGTTGATCTCTTCCCACCCATCCACACTCCCCTGCCTTCCCTCTGAGGTTTTTCAGTCTGTTCGATGCTTCTGTGTCTCTGGTCCTATTTTTGTTCATAAGTTTATGTTGTTCATTAGATTCTACATGTGAGAGAGATCATGTGATACTTATCTTTTTTTTTTTTTTTTTTTTTTTTTTTTGCATAGCATAATGCTCTCCAGCTGGGGGCTGCCCTCTGCTTGTAAGATGTTTTGTGGTATTCCTGGCCTCTACACACTAGATGCCAGTCATACAGCCTCCTCAGTGGAGACAAACAAAACTGAGTGTCTCTCTGGAGAACCCCCCTGGAGTCACAGTCTCTCTTGGTTGAGGAACCACTGTTCTGGAGGAATTCTCAGCTCTCCTCCTAAAGGAGGCTTCAAGGGTGTGTGCACTATGAGCCTTCAATGGTAGGCGGCAAATTAGTAGAGTGAGTGAACATCTATCACCTGGACCCCGCAGTGATAAAAAGAAGGGCTGGCTCAACTTCTGTCAGCCATGTGGTACTGGTGTGAGTGATACAGGTATCTTACGCCCAAGTTTTATTTATTTGCGTGGTGGGGTATTAAGAGAGGGAAGAAGGAAAGATTTGAAGGCTAGTGTATGCTAGAGCTGTCCCAGCCCAGAATACATCAGTGTTTATATATTAGCTAAACATGTTTGGGCCACGAAAGTCGATGGCCCTAGCGGATTTGGCTCAATAGATAGAGCATCAGCCAAGGGCACGTGCCTGGGTTGTGGGCTTGATCCCCCAGTGGGGGGCGTGCAGGAGGCAGCCGGCCAATGATTCTCTCTCATCATTGATGTTTCTCTCCCCCAATCTCCCTTCTTCTCTGAAATCAATAAAATCTATATATTTTTTAAAAGTTGATGGATGATACTGTGTATATATTCATATGTTATAGCACATGCAGGGTGGGCAAAAGTAGGTTTACAGTTATTCATATGGAAAATAATACAGTAATCTATCCTATATAATAAAGAGGTAATATGCAAATGGACCCTCGTGCCCTCGCACAAGATGGCCGCCCCCATGAAGTCAAAAATGGCTAGCAGGGGAGGGTAGTTGTGGGCAATCGGGCTGGCTGGAAAGGACAGTTAGGGGAGGGCAGTTAGGGGCAGCCAGGCCAGCAGGGGAAGGCAGTTAGGGACAACCAAGCTGGCAGGGGAGGGCAGTTGGGGGCAATTGGACTGTCAGGGGAGCAGTTAAGCATCGATAAGGCTGGCAGGGGAATGGTTAGGGGGTGATCAGACTGGCAGGCAGGTGAGTGGTTGGGAGCCAGCAGTCCCAGATTATGAGAAGGATCCCAGATTTGAGACTGTGCAGGCTGGGCTGAGGGACACCCTCCCCCTCCAGTGCACAAATATCATGCACCAGGCCTCTAGTTTATATATAAAAGCCTAAGCGACCATCTGGCCAACCAGCTGGCTGGCCGATAGCTATGTTGTGCAATAACTACCAGGGGAAGATGCTCAATGAAGGAGCGGAAAACACAGATATGGAAACATGAAACAGACCTGGAGAGGTCAGGAAGAGACTAACCAAAGGTCTTATATGCATACTAGAGGCCCAATGCACAGATTCATACACCTGTGGGGTCCCTCAGCCTGGCCTGCAGGGATTGAGCTGAAACTGGCTCTCTGACACCCCTGATTGCAAGAGGGCACAGGCCAGACCAAGTGACCCCACCAGTGCACCAATCCATGCACCGGGCCTCTAGTTAATAAATAATAATATAAGAATAATCTTTGTGTTTTGCATACTCACAACTATAAACCTACTTTTGCCCCACCCTCTATATCATCTGTGTGTGTGTGTGTGTGTGTGTGTGTGTGCACACACATATATGTATGCATGTATTTATAGTGTTATGGCTCCCTAATCATTTATATGTTGGCTATTTGGGATTTTGTGTATGCTTTAATTATTTTCTTTGACAAATTATTTTCATTGTATAGTCTTTAAATTATCTTTACTTCGTCAATTACTGCATGAGATCCCACTGCATAAATTGAGAAAAAAAAGTTTCATCTGTTTTGGAATGGTTGATTTGTTTCCATTGTGTTGTACTTATAGTTAATAACATACTTCCTAATATCCTGTAGCATACAGAAATCAGCCCTTTTCAGGCAATGGACCGAATGATGTTAAATATGCGAAACAGTATGCAGGAATTACAAAGAAACTTTGTAAGTACTAAAACATTGATGAGAACATTATTTTCAGTTATTAGTACCCAATATTATAGTGGCTTTCGAACTCTTTTTAACCCTGAAACACAGTAGTTAAAAAATATGTCATAGCATCTACCTTTGATAGTAATGTGATAAAATGACATTTTCACACACACACAAATATATATATGTACTATGACATATGTTTTATGTCATGGTACAGTACACAATACTTGTGTGCTAACTAAATATACCTGAAAAAAAAGTTTAAGAAAATGATCATACTATTTACAATATGTGCTGATGTATTCTATTTTATTTCAGATTTTTAAAAAATCCTGGTCACAACCCACAAAACTGGTTTCACAGCCAACAAGTTTGAGGAAAATAGCATTCATTAACTTTCAAAGTTAAAAAAAAAATCAACCCCAAAAGCATTTGTACTGCTGAAGGTCACTATTGTAAACGAACATTTTATAAGAATTTAGATTTTTAAATTATTTTATAACTTGTCTACTTAAAAGTAATTGTATCATCTAAGAAATTAGGTTTTAGTGTTTAAAAAATTCTGAAAATTTTAGAATGATATTTAGACACTAAATTAGCTCCACGTCATCCAAATACTTATAAAGTAATCCTACCACTCTTACTTTTCTACTCAATATTCACATCAAAACAATAACTTGATTGAATCTGAAGAAGGCCCATGTTATTTAGTCTTCTCACTTGAAATCTAAGGATCATTTCAGAATGATTTTAGTGATTAGCAATCTGGTACCCACAGGAGTATCAGATTGCTAATAAAACTCCTAATGTATGGTTAATTGGCTCAACGTTGGCAAATTTACTTCAAATATAAGTTAAAATTTAGCACACAAGCATCAACCACTGACTAAAAGTATCACAGCATCTATATTTAAGGCTAAGCCATAGGTTTTTGATCCCAAAGGCTTAAGGATATTTGAGTGACTCACTTGTATTCCTCACTAGGTGGTGGGAATTGGTGGCTAAAAAGGAAGGAAGTTAGGACCTTCCTGGTGGTACTATTTGGATGCACTATAATGATAGCATAGTAACCTTAGTAGAATTTCCGGTTGTGTTATTACTTATTTGAGTTCTCTGACATTAGTTCTGCATATTTGACTAAACTTTCTGAATTTACAATTTATATTTGTAGGGTAACCTTTCACTGGATCCAAACGGACATTCGTTTACTTCTTCCTCGGTTATGACTTATTCCAAAGTCGGAGATGAACCGCCAAGGGTTTTCCAGGCCTCAACTCAAACCCGTCAGGCTCCAGGAGGAGTAAGTATTTTCTAAGCATTCTTAGAGTTTTATAGATTGTGGAATGTCTGCCTCTATCAAAGTTTAATTATTCAAATTTGAGCTGGTTCTGTCGGTGGGAGGAGGGAATTTGGAGAAGACCCTTGTCACTATGAAAAACAATAAAGCGTCTTTTGTCTCCCCACCCAACCTTTATTTATATAAATATCTGTTAGTGTTTATTAACTTTACATGTTGACAGATACATAGATACTAAAAGAAGTCTTTGTTTAATAAACAAATGTCTACTTTTAACTTATATTTGAAGTAAATGAATTTTTTAACTCATGGGACATTTTAAGTATACAGGAAGGATATAAAGAATAATATAAGTATTCATATGTCTTAAATCACAACATTTTTCTCTGTTTAACTTGTCTCTTGTTTTTTTTTTATTTTACTTTATTTTATTTATTTATTTATTTGTTTGTTTTAAAAAATATATTTTATTGATTTTTATACAGAGAAGAAGGGAGAGAGATAGAGAGTTAGAAACATCAATGAGAGAGAGTCATCAATCAGTTGCCTCTTGTACACCCCCTACTGGGGATATGCCCGCAACCAAGGTACATGCCCTTGACCGGAATTGAACCCGGGGCCCTTCAGTCCCCAAGCCAACACTCTATCCATTGAGCCAAACCGGTCCCAGCTGTTTTTTTGGGGGTTTTTTTAAGCAAAAAACTTTGCAGATGCAGTTAGAGCTTCCAGTGCTTTCCTCCCTCCTTGGTCCCTTTTCCTTTTCTCCCTCCCCCAAAGAGCACCATTTCCCTTTATCATTCTCATGCATGTCTTTATAATTTTGTTACTTATGTATGCTTCATAAATAATATAGTGAATTATTTTCAAATTTATAAACTTTATATAATGGTGTCATATTGCAGTGTCCTCTGCAACTTGACTTTGCTCAATAATATGCCTTAGATTTATTCAAGTTGATATGTATGTAGCTCTTGTTTCTTTAACTTCTTAATAGTATCCCAAATATGATTACATAGCGATTTTTAAATCTACTTTTCTACTGATAAACACTTGGGTATTTCTAATTTTTCATTCATATTCACAAAAGTCTCCTTGTGCAAAGGATATAGGAATGGCATTGACTGGGTGTAGGAGGTGTGTATCATTTTCATTAGAAATTACCAAGTTATTATCACACAGTGATTTAAACAGTCAGCTTCCACAAACTCTGGTGTAAGATTTCACATTTCTCCATGTCTTTGTTAGTAATTATAGTAAAAAAAAAAAAAAGTTAGGCTTGCCTATCTAATGGGTGTGAATGGTTAATTTATGTAGTTCTTACATGTTAGTTATATCTTTTAATGATGCTTTTGCAATAGTGCAGCTAATTCATCTCAGACATTTTAATTTTAACTTGCTGTAAATGACATGCATCATAAACATAAACAGAATATAAATATAAATGTCCCATAGAGAACCATGTTAATAGCTTTGGTTATCATAGATAGTCTAATAACCCATAGAGTTCATAGGTGGTAGTCATGAGATTCAATATCATCAACATGACTGCTGAATAATTAGTTGCCTTACTTACAGGAATGCTAACATGTATTACTATTACACTGTCAAGGGCAGTGTCAAAGGCACTAGGTTTTCTATATTTAAGTTATTCTTTGATTTAATACTTGATTACCAAAAGATTAAATTGTATTGGTCCTATTTGTCCTAGACATTTTAATTTCAAGCAGTTCAGGAAATACCAGAGAATTACTACCATAATTTTACTGCAAGTTGGTAGTGAAACTGAGTGCCCTTTATTTTTAGAACAGTAGATTGATGCTCTAATCTCTGTAGTAAACCGGCCCTGAGGAGTTTAGAATTAAATCCATTCAATATATCTATATATAAAAGGCTAATATGCAAAGTGACCCCTCCAGAGTTCACTAGGAGAACGATAGTTAAATTGCTCGCTATGATATGCACTGACCACCAGGGGGTGGTGCGGAACATGGTGGGGGACCAGCGGTGGCGGTGGGGCACTGAAGGACTGAGGGAAGGAGGAGGCAGAGAGGTGGGGAACTTGATTAGCCCTGATCGCTGGCCAGGCCTAAGGGCCCTACCCATGCACGAATTTTGTGCACCAGGCCTCTAGTATTTAATACTAGCCATTTTTATTTTCTTTACTTTTACAGATAAAGGAAACTAGGAAAGCATTGAGAGATTCTGACAGTGGACTAGAAAAAATGGCTGTTGGTCATCATCTCCATGACAGAGCTCATGTTATCAAAAAATCAAAGAACAACAAGACTGGAGACGAAGAGGTCAACCAGGAGTTCATCAATATGAATGAAAGTAAGTGTTTGTAGAAAATAGCATTCTTCCTGGTAAAATCAAAATAGCACCTGCACTGGTGGAACTTGAATACTTTTTGTAGAAACATTTCATAAGAAGTCATTTTGAGGTAGTTTATAAATGTGCAGGAAATACCTTATCAAAGTATTAATATTGTGGTTTCATAATTTCATAGTAGTTCTGTTTTTATAGTAATTTTTGGTAATGCTGAGTACCATTTTATGTTTTCTATTTGGGAAATGGAATAGTTTGAATTGTTATTTAGTAAGATTCAGTAGGCAAAATGAGTTTAAATATTTCTGATTTTCAAAGTAGTACATTTGAGAAATGCAAAAAAAGTATAAAGAAGAAAATTATCTGAAATTTCAACCCAAAATAACTACTATTAATGTTTTGGTGTATTTCTTCCTAATAATTTTATGCATATATCAACATGTATACTTTTTTCAAAGTTAATATTTTAATGTTTATATAATTTTTACAGTGCTTATTTTAAGTCTCCATTATAATTGTGAACAGTCACCTATGATATTTTTCAAAAACATTTTAAATGATTACCTAAAAGTTTTATCATGAATAGGCCATAATTTATTTAAATGATTCAGTATTTTTAGATATTTAGGCTTTTCTATCGATAAGATTTTAATTTCTGGTATTGTTAAAAATAGATATAATATAACATATTACATATCGGGTATGTATCAAGTACATTTTTTCATTTTCTAGATTTTACATTTATTTTTAAATGAATTTGTCTTTCCCGTATCCTAATTCTTCTGGTTGTAGTTTTAAAGTTATATTCATCTCCTATTTTCAGGAAGTATCCTAAACAAAAATATTTTAATACCGTAAAGGGTCTGAATTATTGTATAATTTTAGAAAGAGAATTTCTCTTAAAGTTGGAGTTTGATAAACTTATTCTTATGCAATGAAATGGAAGACACAACATCTTAACCTTTTGTTACTTTTAACCTTTATAATTTTGTCATATTGAATATAATTAACATACAAAAGAAAGATTTCGTGAAGGAATACATTATTATAAAGGCAGTCTGAAAGAACAAGTTTAGCCATTTATCTGTTGTTAATATGGAAGTGAGGTTACCTACTTCATAACAACATAAATTGGCAGTCAAAACAACATAAGTTGGCAGTAAACTGTCTTAGAAAATTGACAACAGAAGCTTGTGAGGCCAAATTACACAGGAAAATGGTGAGGGTGAGAGGAATGCTAGTCACAGGAGTGCCCAACTACAGAGGAAATGGATGGTCACTACGAGAAGACACAGGAAGGAAGATTAAAAGTCAGTGTAATTGGGTCAAGGGGTCCCTTTGGGTAGAATAATGTGATATCCAGGCAGGCGTGTGAAAAACCGGATCATCAGTGACAAAATTATCAATAGAGGAACAAACAGAAAAGGAAATATTACCCTGAGCCAGAGACCTTTGTATTTGACGCAGTTTCCTGCCTCTGTCTTGAGGTTAGGTTGATGGAAACATCAGACTAGAATAAAGTTTGTGGGGAGCAAGACATTTACTGACTGACTGACTGAGACCTTAATATTACTCCTTTGTTTTGCTATTTAATGTAGGTGATGCTCATGCTTTTGATGATGAGTGGCAAAATGAGATTTTAAAGTACAAACAAGGGAGACAGTGGTGCAATCTAGAAAACACCAGGATGCCCCGAAGTGTTGGGCATGAGAATTCAGGAGCCCGAGAACTTAAAAGAAGGTAAGGGTTATTTCTAAAATAAATTGTGTTGTTTAAAGAATAATTAGGAAAAAAGTTTCATAATTTTACCTCTGTGATCAAGAAGTTCTCAACATCCAAGTTGTTTTCATCAACAATATCTTTTGAGAAAGATGTGATTTATATTATATCTGAGTATTCCACACAAATTAAATTTTATACCTAAAAAACAATAATATTTCAGGATTACATGATTAGTAACTCACTAGCGAATTATGCTTCAGAAGATAAGGGCTAACTTCTCCTAAGGAACATGCTATAATGTAGTTATTCACGTGAAACAGATTTTAATGTAAATCAGAAGACTCATGCAGAATTTCATGTGCTAGCCTCTTTTATTTTTAAAATACCTGTTTGGAGTTTAGAGCACTAATATTTTCTATAGGAAATCTGCTCCAATATTAATTTTAGATAGTATTTGTCTCACTTGGAAAAGTTTATTGATAAAAGTTTAACAGTGGTCAAAGTGACTATGAAATCCATGGTGAAAGAAAGCAGGTTCTTTATAAATGATCTATAATTTATGGCCCTATCTGGCATTTCCTATAAACTAGCACCACGTGATAGAACTTTCTGAAGTGATGTTCCCCAGTGATGAAAATGCTCTACATCTATACTGTCCAAAAATGTAGCTATGGAATCACACACCTTCAGTGGCTGGTGCAACTGAGGAGCTGGATTTTATTACCATATAAATGACATCGCTAGTGGCTGCCATGGGGGCAGCGTAGTTAAACGATGCATAGTTAAATCTGTCTCAGGAAAGCAGCGGCCACTTTCTTAAATGTCAAGGGAAATCGTCTGACATATGTTTTGCAAAGCTATTGAGAAACTGTTAAGGTAAAATCTTGCTGAAATCACAGTGATTTTTAACATGTTTGTATTGATTTATAAACTGTTGACCATTTAAAAAAAAAAGTATTAACTTTTTATATGTATATTTCTCAGGGAGAAATCTCAATGCCCAGGCATTGAACGTGGAAGAAGATCAAATGTTTTCGTGGACAAACTCAACATCAAAGGATCACCTGTGAAAATGAGCAAAAAATAAACAGCCTTGCATTTGATATGCTCAGTTTGGGTTGTTTTACAGAGAAAGTAAATGGTGCTGGGTAATACACATAAGACCAATCTCCTGTTGTTAAATCGATACTGTACTTAGCAACTTTCTTCTGATATCTCGGTGTCCCTACTTTAGAAATAAAAGTTTGATTTTCAGCAGTGTGGCAGAGTTGTTAAATATTTAATCAAACTCTTCGTTTAAAATATAACTGATTTTCAAAACTCACGTACTGACTTTGCTTCCCAGTTATTTTCCTGTTGGCTGTGTATTCTTTTATACAAGACTGAATGTGGTGCCAGTTCTATATAACAAGTTTTAAGAAAGTTAAATGTTTAAAAAATTGTCTCAATGTTCATTTAACACTACTCTAGGGTCATGTTAATGAGGTTAAAATCATTTACTTCAGATTTTACAATGTGTTATGTAGCCAGCTAGCTTAAAGATTTTTTAAAAAATAAAGCAGAACTATACTAGTACTGGCTTGCGAGAAATTTATCATTTTGATAAAATAAAGAGCAGTCAAATAGTTCATTGTCAAAGAGATATTTTAAACTGCTAATATACATGAGTTTTTTTCTTGTAGTGTCTTTATATAGTATATTTTTCGTTCTATATTGCATTTTTAACATTTATCAGACTTTACACTGACCTTTCTGTGTAATGTCTTCAGGTATTTCTACTCTCCTTTCCCACAAACACTTAATCTGTCTCCACGGTTAACATTCTGAAGTAAGAGTGTCCTTGGAGAAACTCTGCTCAGCCTTTCTGTGACATTTAGAAAAATGCATTTGGTATTCTGCAAACCTGAGTGATTGATTGTCTCAAAATTTCTTAGACAGGTGATATGTGTGTTTGACTTACTAAGTCAGTTGGTCCATTTTTAATTATACCATTTATATCTTTAGCATTTTTATTCTAGAATTAAAGCATTAATTTTTATAGAAGTTAGGTTTGAATTCTATTAGAATATAAAATTTTATCTCTTTAAGTCTTTGTTGTTTCAAGGGGGAAAATAGAACAAAAAATCTATCTTCCTTTTTTAACTCTGGAAATAGAATTACATGATTGTGCTTATACTCTTCTAGTTTTCTATATCATATCCTGTTCTTATTAGTTGGTGTTTCATACCTTTAAATGAGCCACTAAGATAAGATACATATGCATCCATTAATTTTTATAATGGAAAGTGACTTAGCATCTATTAAAGATGTTAGTTTTTCTTTTCTATACACGTTAGTGTACTAACAACATAACATAAAGAACACTTTTGCATAAATTCACTTGATAGAGCAGAATCTCAAGAATAGATACTGTCATTATTCTCCTGTTGCCTAAATCATTACACTGGTAACTGGAATCACTATATTCAAATGTGAAAACACTTCATAAATAATTTTTCTTAAAACAATATAACTTCTATGCATCATATAACCATTAGATAATCCAATTTATTTACCATGGAAATTAAGGGGGGAAAAAGAAATTAAATATATGTATTTCTTATCCCAGAGTACTTTCTTGGGTGCTACTAGACAAATCTTTACGTTCACATGATGCTGAAGATGAGTTTTTTTTCACAATTTATTTTTTACCATAGTGTTGAAGTCAACCAGTGTAAAAAAGAAGGCTCTCTGTAGCCTGTAGCTCACGTAAGATTTTTTTCTTAACGGACAACATTGATCTTTCTGGAACCCTGGGTTTTAGGGGAATGTAAGGATATAAACAATTTGGCGAATGTGGCCTTGGTAATAAGGCCAAATTGCATAGTTAGGCTCCTTGCCACTTTGGAGGTTTTCCTGGTGTTGGCAGTCTCAGTGATAAGCTTTCCTTGCCTTCCTGACTCCATTGTCCTTCACTGCCTCAGGGCCCTGCCAGAGCTCTTTGGAATCAGATGGTGCCTGCACGTGGCAGTGTGATGGTAATTGGAGACCAGGCTATTGGGTGTGATTGGGTGATGGGGGTGGAGCCCTCATGAATAGAGTTAGTGACTTTATAAGAGACTCAGAGAGCTTCCTTGCCCTTTCTTCCATGTGAACAGAGTGATGTTGACTGCCTTTGAATGAGGGAGTATTTTCTCACCAGTCACCTAATCTTCTGCCTTGCTCTTGGACTTCCCAGCCTCCAGAACTACACAAAATTTCCATTGTTTATAAGCCAACCAGTCTATGGTCTTTTTGATTCAGCAGCTGGGTGAGCTTAAAGAGTGGTCTTAGGCTGATCAGGCTGGGACAATTTGGAGATTCTACAAAGGCTCAACCTGGACCTTACTGCAATGAGTAGGACTTTCAGTTTGGTGATTGTGTTCATTTCCGAGACCTTTTAAGACCCTCTGACCCTGATTATATAGATTGGGCAGTAACTGCCTTCTGATGGTATCGTTGGCCCTAATGTCATGCTGGGGTTTGGAGGTTCTAATGAGACTTTGGTGTCCTCGGGTGAATTTGGCTATAAACACGTTTATCTTCTGTCTTCCCACCATTTTATATTATTCGTCCATGAAAACTCACCACAGTCTTGCCTTTGTATGAGACACTTGCTTTGGGAGAATCCTTCTGTCCCCCCCTGTTGCCATGTAACCACATGATTCTCTGATTCTCAGGTCAGCAGTCAGCCTGAGACCGATGTAAGAAAGCTTTACATTTGGTAGCACATCAGGCCATTTTTCATGGGTTTGTCAGCGAATAGACTTGCACTGCCTCTGGCACACCGTTAGCAAGGAACTGCAGTAACCCCTTTGGGACATGTTGAAGACTTTCACTTGAGAGGCACCTTAGAAGACGATACCCCAAACAGGAGAGCCTTTGTGCTTTCTGTCTAAAGAAACCATGTTATTTACATAAAAGGCCACACCTTTTTATGTTCAGGGCTTTTTAACAATATGGCTTATATTTAAACTCCTCTCTTCTTGACTAGGGAAGGCAATTAGCCTTTTACAGAAATACTTTCATATTTGTATTATTAAGTTAATTAAATAAGGAGTCCATTTGTAGCTCCTGAGAGAAAAGCAAAACCTGAGCCTGCAATGCCTTAAGACTAAGAAGTTGAAACCTAAACACAAACAGGCTTTCCCAAATAAGACAACTGCCTAAGCTATAGCCAATCAGGGAACCTCCCTGCTTTGCTTCGGCCTCCTCTTTTAAGTCTTCCTCCTAACTCAGTGGTCGGCAAACTGTGGCTCTGTTGACTAATGAGTCTGCCGATCACTGGATCGGGATTTTTTAAGCACAAGGAACAAAAACAGCCTATAGTTACTGGAATCGAGAGTCTAAGTCAGTGGTCGGCAAATTCATTAGTCAACAGAGCGGCAAACAGCAGCTCATGAGCCACACGTGGCTCTCGAACCTCAGTTTGCCGACCACTGCCCTAGCTGATGAGAACTCTGAAAGACTTCATGGTGGCACTGCCCTATTGGAATTGATTTTGCTCTAACAAAATTCTCACTGTGCCTCAGTTTATCTTTTAACAGTATACAGATGGCTCTAGTTAAATTCTAGCTAGAACTTTAGTTTTTCAAATCCTCATTCAACTTCTCAACACTTTAAAAATGTTAAATTGATTGATAGGTATTTGGACAATTTCTAAGTAAAAGTGATACAAAGTTTTGACTACTGAAGGTAGTTGCAATTTATCTTTATACATATAAAATGACTGAATTAACACAATGTTCAAATATTTTGGAGTATATATATATATATATATATATATATATATATATATATATACACACTGAGTGGCCAGATTATTATGATCTTTGAACGCATAATAATCTGGCCACTCAGTGTATATTCTATATAATAAAAGGCTAATATCCAAATTGTCCCCTCGACCAGGAGTTCAACCAGCAGGTAGGCCGACCACCCATGTCCTCTCCCCCGGCAGACCCCACCCATGCACAAATTCATGCACCAAGCCTCTAATACACACACACACACACACACACACACACACACACACACACACTGAGTGGCAGTTTGTCAGTTATGTGTTCAGAGATAATAATAATCTGGCCACTCAATGTATACATACATACCACTTTAAAAGCTAACAGAGGCAATTATGTGTACTCATAAAAATTGAGCTAAATAGTGCTTGGTTTTCTGTGTTTCTATTTCCTATGTATACAAAACAAAGCTGATTACTTTGGCTACAAGTGGTATTAATAAAAATAAGAATATACTTGGTTAAATTATAGAAAAATAATATATATATACACAAGATCATGAGTATGCATTTTTACTGAAGGAAATTTTGTTAAAGTGGTAATAGATACACTTTTATTTAACACTAGTGGCCCAGTACATGAATTCATGCACATTGAAAGGAAATTAAGTAGAAGAAATATTTTAATATTGCTATTCGCCGTTTATAACAGAAGTACCAACCAAACTTACAATTGACAATATCAGATCAAAACACACATGTGCGATTGGCACCAGTGAGAGCTTTATATGTATTGAGCATATGTGCGTCATTTTAGCCTTTTGTAGATATAGAATAAACTTACTTAATTAGACCTGCTTTCTGATGTAGCTAAACTTTTTCCAGCCCAGTGAAGCACCCCAACTTTTCTTTCAGGTAATTGTCACCAACACAGCAGTAAATATCAACATGAAGCAGATTATTATTGTAGATCATGCAGGGAGAACAAAGGATAAAATATTTAACTGCATCAGTGTTTGACTATATTCTGTGCCGTGAGAAAACCTGAAGTCATTTTCAAGGTCCACCATTTCCTCTTTTCAGTCAGGTCATGTTTCTAAACTTTTTAAATCTCCAATTTCCAGCTAAGGAAAAATGAAAGAGGATTCCAGCAAGTCTCTTATCTATCTACTTCAGGACTTCTGTGAGGATTAAATGAGATGAGGCATGGGAAAACACTTCATAGATATTTGGTTAAAGTGTAAAATGTTTGTACCTGACTATAAAGCAAGACATGTTCCTGGGCTGAAGAAACTCCAAGGAGGCTAGTCGCTAGGGAAAGGAAGCGGGGCATTGCTATGTGACATCATTACTCAGCACCCACAGCGACTGTTTCTGGGCTGGGCTGGGCTGTGGGCCACATTTTGTGCCATGGGGGTCTCAGCAGCATTAGTTGCAATTTGGTGGGCTGTCCCTCTGGGGTGGTGGCGGGACCTGTGTCCCACTCGGGGGAAGCCGAGTACTGCTTTGTGGGTGCCAGGTCTGAAGTGCCGTTTCTCTGTAAATGGCCAGTGTGCATCATGGAAGCTCCTGTGTTGAGTGTCTCTTCCCTGGTGGTCTGTGAGCATCATAGCGGCCAGTTGGATGGTCAGACACTTAGCATATTAGCCTTTTATATACAGAGAAGAGATAATTATCTTAAAATTAAAGTAAAAACCTTAATTTTATTACCACTTATAAAATTATATATTTTAACCAAATACATATAAAAGCTTATAAAGACTAAAATTTTAAAATCTCTAAATGAAAAAGTTTATTTAAAGATATATTCAATTTTAATGAATTTATCAAAGCACCTTACAAATCATTATAAATTAATACATAGATGATTCAAATTCATCATTGAGTGATGTTTTTGTCATTGTAATTTATTTCTATTTTTTTTTTAATCTGATTCATTCATTCATTTAAAAAAAATACTTACTGAACATCTAGTACATACAGGGTTACAGCAATTAACAAAACCAATCACTGTCCTTATGGAATTGATATTCCCATTGGTAGATAATAAATAGGTATTTCAAATATCTGGATACTAGAGGCCTGGTGCATGAAATTTGTGCATGGGGGGCAGTGGTGTCCCTCAGCCCAGCCTGCACTCTGTTTAATCTGGGATCAGGCCTAAACAGGCATTGGACATGCTCTCACAATCTAGGACTGCTGGCTCCCAACTGCTCACCTGCCTGCTTGCCTGCCTGCCTGCCTGCCCTAACTGTTTCTGCCTGCCAGTCTGATCACCCCCTAACCACTCCCATGCCAGCCTGATTGATGCCTAACTGCTCCCATGCCAGCCTGATTGCCCCCAACTGCCCTCCCCTGCAGGCCTGGTCTCCCCCAGTAGCCCTCCTCTGCCAACCCAGTCACCCCTAACTGATGGCCTGATCCCCCACAACTGCCCTCCCCTGCCGGCCATCTTGTGTCCACCTAGGGGCAGAATCTTTGACCACATAGGGGCAGCCATCTTGTGTGTTGGAGTGATGGTCAATCTGCATATTACTCTTTTATTAGATAGGATTCCTAAGCAGTGCTCTGCGGGCAAATGAAGCAGCATCAGAAGGGAGGAGCTTGCTGTTTTAGAAGTTTGTCAGGGAGGATCTCACTGCTAGAGGCTCTTTGAACTGACAGAAGAACATAGGGGAAAGAGGCCCGCTGCTGTCTGGGGTGGAACGAGGACCCTGGCCCTGTGAGGGTAAGCCAAGAGGCCCATGTGGCTGGAGCACTAGGGCAAGGGGAGGAGAGCTGCATTGGCTTAGCTGCTCCAGCGGGGCCAGGGGTGCTTACTCTGACAGGGAGGGGATGCCCTTACACTTTTTTTTAAAAAAAAGCTATGAAAAATTTCAAATCTGCATAAAAGTACAGATAACAGCAACAATGAATTCACTGTATGAGTGTTTGCAGCAGGAAACTGCATGACCTGGGTGGTTACTGTGTTGAGAATAGGCAGCTATCTCCCCCAGGTTTCTGTGGGGGTGGCAGTGCTGGAGAGGGAGGTAGAGGGGCAGCTTTGGGTCTATTTTTGAAGGCAGAGCCTATAGCACATGTTGACAGATGGAGGGTGTCAAAGAGTGGTGTCAGTAACGAGCACTTGTGATATGCGCAACTCAGCGGAGTTTCCATTTATGCAATGAAGACTGCTGAAGGGTTCGGGAGCAAGATCAGGAGCTCCGTTCTGGGCGCTAACTCTGAGATGCCGCTAAGAGATTCACGTGGAATCATTAAGGATGCTGTGTTCCTTGGACTGGACATATAACATTAATAAACAACAAACAATGGCGGAACACATTTTTCGAAATGAGAAAATGCACAAATAATTGACAGTTCTTTCCTTGTTCCCTTCAGGTCATGTTTTCCAGATAATTACTTTTTATATTTGTTATAGCATAGGTTAAAAAAAAAAAAAGTTTGCGGGGGTTGGGGGAAGGAGAAACAATTGTAATAATCTGAACAATAAAGATTTACTTAAAAGTAAAAAAAAATTAAAAAAACAAAACTAGCAACAACAAAAAAAGTTTGCATCCTTTTCACTTAAATCCTGTCATAAACATTTCTCCACATTGCTCTGTGGGGGAAACTCGCACGTTTAAAGGCTTGCGTCTTTCCAGGAAAGTGCAAAAGCGTGCTTAGAGCCGCAAAGCGGTTGCACTTTCTCTTCCGTCCCGGCAGAGGGCGCCCGGCCCGCGGAGGGCGCTGCTCCGCTCTGAGGCCTGGAAAAGCCCCTCCCTCTTTCCCCTCGGTGACCCCTCGCGTCCTTCGCCCCGGAAGTGCTCCTGCGGCCCTGGTCGCCGGCGTGACTTTGAGCGCTCGCGCTGCGGTGCGGGCTGCGGAGCGGACCCGGCGCCGCGGGACCTGCGCTGCGTGTGCCATGCGGCTGCTGGGCGCAGCCTTCGCCTCGGCTGTGGGCCGCGGGCCGCTGCCGCGGGCCCCGGCCGCCCTGGGCTGGCGGGGGAAGCAGGTATCCGTGCCCGGCGAGGCGAGACCGGACCGGGGAGCGGCCCTGGGACCTTTCGGCCCTCGGGGGGCCGGGCTGGTGCTAACGCCCCTTCTTTCCCCCTCTCCCCTGGCGCCTCTTTTTTGACTGTGCTGACGGCCCTGGGAGGTTGCACCTTAAAGAGGACAAGTGACTGGAGGGAAGGGCGAGACAGCTGAACAATGGAGTGTGTCCCAGGCTCGAACCCAGGGCCTCCTCCGACTCTTTATCAAGTGCTCCTTTCCCTCCAGGTTGGCTGGTCCGCCTGCCCCGGAGGTTGGATGAGGCCCGCGAGCCTCCGGGTACTTACTTCCCTGAGGTCTGGCTTCTGCCCTTCGCTGGGGGCGCAGGATGAAGTGGGGTTTGGCCCTTCCTGTCCCGCAGACCGCCGCCGCCTCTGCTTTGCTGGCTGGTATCCCTGGGGTTGTCTCCACTGCGCGCCTGTCACCCAGATTCCGGCTAATGCTGACCCACCTTTTCCAAGGCCTCCTCTTTCCTCTCCCCGAAGGTGGCTGCGGTGCATTTTGGATGTACAGTCCTGTAGGAAGAGGCTTATGTTGTGTCTTGATTCCGTAAATGCAAGATTTGATCTCCTTTCCCGGTTAATAGAAAGTGGGGTGTTTTGTTTTGTTTTGTTTTGTTTTAAATGTCATTGTTTGGGGGTAGAAGGAATTGGAAACTTTTTGCAGGCTGCCTTGGAGCTCTTGGCACCAGTGCATAGAGGCCTCGAACATTTTTCCTTACTATGAACCACAATACAGGTGGGGTGGGGGTGGGAGTGGGGGGAATCAAAGTAAAATGTAAACTAAAAGCTATTTCCCAGTAAAGTAGCTGTTGGGAGCTGTCTTTCTGATTTTATCAGCCCCAACAGCTACTTTATGTTTTCAAACCTGTAACATTCCCTAAAAGTGTGCTCCTTTTGTTTAATTTATTTTAATGCATCCTTTTAAAAAAAAATTAATTCTTTTTAAGAATATGTATTTTCTGTCCTTTCTTGCATTCTCTCCTTTGATTACAAGGGTTGCAGGCTGAGACATTTGCTCTTCCTTTCCTGATTATCTCAGATGATGTTTTGTGTCCATTGAGATTTCTTGGGGGAAAGATGTCCACCAACCCATTTTAATTGCCTGTTGTTACCTTGTAAAATGTGCAATGAATTGGGCTTGTTTTTTTTTTCCCCCCTCCAGGTTAACTGGAAGGTCTGCAGATGGTGTTCATCAGGGAAGATTCCTAATGAAAGGATAAGAAATATTGGAATCTCAGCTCACATTGATTCTGGGAAAACGACGTTAACAGAACGAGTGCTTTACTACACTGGCAGAATCGCAAAGATGCATGAGGTATGCGGTTTGTGTTGATTCTGGTGAGTTAGAGCTTGGTTTTAATTGTTTTGTGGTTATGATTTAACAAACTTGACAAAACCCGGAAAGGTTTAAAGAATGGTAGTCATATTATACAGTGGATAGCTCAAGGAGGCATGAAATATTGCTCTGAAGAATCAATCTAGTGATCATCATTGTAGGTATACTGAGAAGGTGGTCTTTTGAGAATGTTAAATTATGTAATGTGATGTATCCTTAAGTGGCCATTAAAACAGTATTTACATAATTTTTTTTAATGTTATGGAGAGGTGTTTATAATGTTAAGTGGAAAAAGAAGACTTAAAACGATGCATAGCCCTAACTGGTTTGGCTCAGTGGATAGAGCATCGGCCTGTGGACTGAAGGGTCCCAGGTTCGATTCCGGTCCAAGAGCATGTATCTTGGTTTCGGGCACATCCCCAGTATGGGGCGTGCAGGAGACAGCTGATTGATGTTTCTCTCTCATCGATGTTTCTACCTCTCTATCCTTCTCCCTTCCTCTCTGTAAAAAAATTCAATAAAATATATTAAAAATAAATAAATAAATAAATAAAATGATGCATAGTATGAGCTTAATACAAACAGTCCTCGGGTGATGTCAGACTCCATGTATGTCATTTCGTGGTTACGTCGCCATCTCCCATTTATTTATTAAAAAAAAAAAGTTCCGTCATTTCAACGTATGTACTTATGTGCTTTATGTTCTTTATTATTTACTGTATTTACCACAATTAAAGGTCAGGAATTGTTATCTTTCTTTTAAATTTTTTTTACCATTTCATTTCGTTACTCCATGTGAGTGACGTAGACGCGTAAGTAGGTGCGTTCCGACTTACTGCAGTGCCGTAGGAACGGATCTCTGATGTAACCCGAGGACCTACCATGGTTTAAAAAATATCTGAATCAGGAAAAAAAAAATGTAATAAAATCTCGAAACTCTTCTGAAGAAATTACATATCAGTGAGTAACACCTTTCCATTCAAAAAATATTTCTTCAGATGACGATCATCTTCTTAAATCCCATACTTTAAAAGCTGAATCCTCCCCTACCGGCCTCAAAATCCACAAATAGCAGAGCAGGCAGAGCTGTTCTCTGAACATCTCCGCACAGGTCAGCAGAGGGCTGGCGGGCAGGAGCAGTGCCGAAGGAGCAAGGATGGCTCTGAGACTGGGTGACTGCTCTATGGCAGCAGTTGCTGAGAACGGATGAAAAAAGGGTTAGGCAGGTCATGGAGGGCAAAATCTGTATTGGGCTTTCTATTTCATGAGATGATATGGTTTGACAAATGAGACTTCTCTGCTAATTGCATCATTTAACTACCTGTGCTCTGGTTCCATCTCTGTAAAAAATGTCTTTGTTTCTGCATGGAGGGACAGAAAACTCTGAATTGCTGTCTTTGTGTTTAGGTGAAAGGTAAAGATGGAGTTGGTGCTGTCATGGACTCCATGGAACTAGAAAGACAGAGAGGAATCACTATTCAGTCAGCAGCCACCTATACCATGTGGAAAGATGTCAACATCAACATTATAGATACTCCCGGTGAGGTTTCTCTTTTATTGCAGCTTGTTTGGGCAGAAGCACAGTGAGCTCTTTCCTCTACTGTGACACAGCTTATATTTGAGTATCAATTAACTAGAGGCCCGCTGGACAAAATTCGTGCACAGAACTGGGGGGGAGGAGCGCGGGGGGTGTCCCTCAGCCCAGCCTGCACCCTCTCCAATCTGGGACCCCTCTCACAATCCAGGACTGCTGGCTCCCAACTACTCGCCTGCCTGCCTTCCTGATTGCCCCTAAACCGCTTCTGTCTGCCAACCTGATCACCCCTAACCACTCCTCTGCCAGCCTGATTGATGCCTAACTGCTCCCCTGCCAGCTTGTTTGCCCCCAACTTCCCTCCTCTGCCAGCCTGGTCACCCCTAACTGCCCTCCCCTTCAGGCTTGATTGCCTCCAACTGCCCTCCCTTGCAGGCCTGGTCCCTCTCAACTGCCCTCCCCTGCTGGCCATCTTGTGGTGGCCATTTTGTATCCACATGAGGGCAGCCACCATGTGTGTTGGAGTGATGGTCAATTTGCATGTTACTCTTTTATTAGATAGGCTACTAAGAAGTGTGACTGAGTCTCTGTTAGAGAAGTTTGACTTGGGGCCTAGAGTGCCTCCCTCATCCTTTAGTGGTTTCCCTGAAAAATAGTGCTAATAAATGGTGAGTAGGAAGGTTAGTGCCTTTTGCATGTTGTAGCTGAGTCCAGAGGTTCCCATGCCCATGTATCTTTTTGAAGTAATCTTATTGGGCCCCTGGACCTTATGGTGAGGGAATGGTATTAGTGATTTTAAAAATTTACATTCTAATTAGAAGCCTTATGTGATGAGCAGAGATACAGAAACTTTTAATTGTGCATGTTGTAAAACTTCAGGCTGCTCTTTAAGGCCCTCACACTCTTGTCTCTTTTAGGGCATGTGGATTTCACAATAGAAGTTGAAAGGTCCCTGAGAGTGTTGGACGGCGCAATCCTTGTTGTCTGTGCGGTTGGAGGGGTGCAGTGCCAGACCATGACCGTGAATCGGCAGATGAAGCGCTACAATGTTCCATTTCTCACTTTCATTAACAAACTGGACCGATTGGGCTCCAACCCCACCAGGGCGCTGCAGCAGATGAGGTACTGACTCTTAGAAGAACAGAGGGTGTGATGATCTGCATGATAAACTTGATATCCAGAACAATGAGTGTCATTAAGCCTTATCCTTACAGTTCCCCAACCCCTTTTATTTATTGAGTGATTTAGTAAATGAGCATTGAAGTCAGTAGTTTGGTTTTCGTTTATGGTGTGATCTCATTAATTGCCTTCTCTCTAAAATGGGGAAAATATTACTTGAATTGTACGGATGCTGAAGGTGCAGTCAGAAAATAATCTGGCAATTTAAGCTATTTTGCTATAATTAGAGAAGTTATAATCTAAAGTAGATTCTAAAAGTACTTTGTGTTTATTTAGAAAAATCTAGAGGATCCCCTTTAGTTTAACCTTCACTTGAGGAATTTAATTAATGCCCTTAAGTAGTATGCTGTATTTCCTCGCTCTCAGGGTCAAATACCTGCTAAGACGAGAATACTTCCGCTCTGTACCAGGGGTAACACAGTGGTAATTGTAGTGTGCTGCATTGCACAATTGTGTATTTCAGATAGCCTTTGAAAAGAGTCGGTCTCACTTTTCACCTCTTGTAGATATGTAAGTGAAGCTCATTTCATGAGAGAGTTGATAGACACAAGAGAGAGACATAGGCAGCAAAGTTCTTGATAAGGGAAAGACTAAGAGTGATGTGTCTGATGACAAAACATCCAGTGTTGAGGAACATTAAGTGACCATATTGCTGTGTGCACTTTGCTAAAAGTGATATATTTGAGAATATGAGAGTGAAATTTGTCCTTTATTGGATACTTGTAAAATTTTCTTGGTAAAATGAAACATTTTTACTTTTCATCTTTATTACTATATTTTAATTGTGGTTGGCAATATAGGAACTCTTTCTGCTGTCTTTTTCTGAATTTTAGGAATATTATCTTTTAGCATCTATTTGGCTAGTTTGTTTTGCTTCACTCCCTTTTACCTGTTTTCTCATTTTGTAACTCCCATTAAACAGATTTTGAAACTTGTGCATCTGGTCTCTCTGCCATACTTTATATGTCTCTGTTTTGGACTGGGCAATGAGCTAATTCTTGAGGTCAGTCTTCTAGTTCACTAATCTGCTATTCATCTGCATCCTCTCAGTTATTTAGCCTATTCTTTTTAATTTCAGCGATTATATATAATTTCCATAAACTTTCTCTTTTATTAATAGAGATAATTACTTCTCAGACCTTTACATTTTATTTTCTTCTAGGATCTCCCTCCTTGGAAGTTAGTACTATTTCTTGAGCTTATACCTCTCTTTCAAGCTGTTGGTTTCCTTCAAATATTTGGTGATTCCTAGTTACCTAGCAATGATTATAGATGGGCACATAGAATCTAGGTAGCAAGAACATATTTCTCCTTAAGTGAGAATCCCTGTCTATGAGTGTAATTTTTATTCAGTAGCTGTGGCTGAAGGAGTTACAGGGTCTGATTTTAACACCTGCTCTGAGAGTTTTCTTCCAAGATTCTCTTTAGATAGCTATACTCTGTTTCACTAGAGTCAGCTGATTCAAGAATGAGATGTGGACATAGTTATCCTACTATCCTTTTAGAGTTCTTTTTATTGCCTAAATAGGGTTGTAGCTTTGTGAGCATAATGAGTTTGTTCTCAACTGCTTTATATCTTCTGTTCTGACTGCTGATGACACCCCTCTCAGAGCTACAGCATCTGCCATTGATTTCTTTCTACTTTTTTTTTTTTTTTTAATTTCAAAGGGACTTGGGGAGAAAAATGGAGGTAAGTATATGTATTTTTGTTTTTCAGGTCTAAACTAAATCATAATGCAGCATTTGTGCAGATACCCATTGGTTTGGAGGGTGACTTTAAAGGTATTATAGATCTTATTGAGGAACGAGCCATCTATTTTGATGGAGACTTTGGGTAAGTATTAAAAATATACCGTAAAATATCTCTTACATTTAAAAAAGTATTGACGAGAAGGAAAAAGATGAGTTACTGAAACAACTTTTTGAAATGTGGCTGGAAGAATATCCTCTAAGATGATTTTGTTTTAGTGCCTTTAATCCTAGTTGCTTCCCATTTTGCTTAGTATTCATTCCAAGGAGAGTATGTTACTTGTTGGGTAATATATTTGCATCGTATTATGACCTGCATGTTGTGGTGGAAGGAGGCTTTCAGCCTGAGCTAGTATGTAATGTTGCATCCATTCATCAATTCATTCCTTCTGCAGACTTTTAGGGGAGCAACCATATCCTGGATATTGTGATAAAAACTAAGAAGAAAATAGGCGTCATAAATATTCCCTCTACCTACTTCATAGCATTGCAAAGATAAAGAGATTAATATGTAAAAAGCAGTTAAAGATTGTACAGATGTGGTTTAGGCAATACAAGAAGCAAATTGGTAACTGATACGATATTTGGTTCATCAATCAACTTTTGAGTGACTTTCACATACAAATCACTATAGTTTCTCAGTGATTATCAAACCATGGCATTTAGGAAAATCTCCTGGAGAGCTTTAACAAACACATATTCTTTTTTAAAAAAATATATTTTATTGATTTTTTTAGAGAGGAAGAGAGAGGGATAGAGAGCTAGATACATTGATGAGAGAGAAACATTGATCAGCTGCCTCTTGCACACCCCCAACTGGGGATGTGCCCGCAACCAAGGTACATGCCTTGACCGGAATCGAACCCGGGACCTTTCAGTCCGCAGGCCAACGCTCTATCCACTGAGCCAAACCGGTTTCGGCACAAACACATATTCTTGTATCCACCTCCAGAGATTCTGATTCAGTAGATATTAGGGTGGGGCCTGCAGTGTGCATTCTGGAAAGCTCCCAAAGATGCTGATGTTGCAGGTCTACAGGCCAATTGAGTGGCACTAATCTTGACAATGTGGGGGAGTCCTAAATGATCCTTTGTTCTGAAGAGTGGCCTCAGCAGCCTGGCAGGTTTTCCAGAGGACTTCTTGAGGGGTTTCCTTCCTTTGCTATGGAACTAGGATTGCTGATCTGGCGGGTAGGTAAAGCTTGTCGTGATCAGTTAAATACAGAATTTATCTTGATCAGCCATCTTGTGGGCAGGAAAAAGATGGGAGCTGTCCAGCAGATGAAGTGTTTTTCACACTTCTTGTGTGACAACTGAGTAATGACTGCAAGTTTGTATATTATTCCTTACAATGTCAGGCCCAAGAGCACAGGGATTTTTATCAACTTTATTCATTGCTATTTTCCCCAGCCCTAGAGGTGTCTGGTATATAACAGGGACTCAAAAAATGTTGGTAAACAAACAAACAAATCCACTTCCCCAGAATTACCAGGGCACAAGTATCTGTCTTCTAAATTAGAGGCTTTTAAACTTGCTATACATCAGAACCACAGGTGTAACTTCTTAATATACCTGCCCCCTTTCCCAGTCCTGGACCACTGGGATTGTATATTTTGATTCTGACATAAAAGTCTAAGCACTAAAGAGCTTCACAGAAAGGAAGAAATTAAGTTCTAATGACTATGAAGAATATTCTTTAGAAGTATTTGCAATTGGCTTTTGCTTTTTTATTTAGGTACATGTTTTCTGAAGAGATTACTATTTTTTTGACATTAGTTTCAATTTTAAAGATATTTTGAAAACTTTCATTCTAATATTTCTAAGTATCAAGTATTTGCAGTTGGCTTTTGCTTTGTATGTATTTTATCTGTGTCTCTTACCTATTTGGCTTCTACTAAGGAATGGAGAACTGGGGCTAAGGTTGAAGAGTCTGTTGTATTTAGTAAACTTCTCCCCCCCCCCCCCCTTTATTGATTAAGGTATTACATATGTGTCCTTATCACCGCATTGTCCCCCCCCATCCCCACCCCCCACCCCCACTCATGCCCTCAACGCCACTGATGTCTGTCCATTGGTTAGGCTTATATGCATTCACACAAGACCTTTGGTTGATTTCTCCCCCTTACCCCACGCCCTCCCCTACCTTCCCTCTGAGGTTTGATGGTCTGATCAATGATTCTGTCTCTGGACCTGTTTTTTGTTCATCAGTTTGTTGTTCATTATATTCCACAAATGAATGAGATCATGTGATATTTATCTTTCTCTGACTGGCTTATTTTGCTTAGCACCAAGGTCAGCAAACTGCATTTCGTGAGCCACATGTGGCTCTTTGACGCCTTGAGTGTGGCTCTTCCACAAAATACCACAGCCTAGGCAAGTCTATTTTGAAGAAGTGGCATTAGACGAAATTTAAGTTTAAAAAATTTAGCTCGCAAAAGAAATTTCAATCGTTGAACTGTTGATATTTGGCTCTGTTGACTAATGAGTTTGCTGACCACTGGCTTAGCATAATGCTCTCCAGTTCCATCCATACTTAGCAAATGCTAAGAATTTCTTCTTCTTCTTTTTCTTTTTTTAATCACAGTGTCGTATTCCATTGTGTAGATGTACCATAGTTTTTTAATCCATTTATCTGCTGATGGGCACTTAGGCTGTTTCCAAATCTTAGTTATTATAAATTGTGCTACTATGAACATAGAGGTCCATATATCCTTTCTGATTGGTGATCCTAGTTTTTTGGGATACAGTCCTAGAAGTGGGATCACTGGGTCAAATGAAAGTTCCATTTTTAGTTTTTTGAGGAAATTCCATACTGTTCTCCACAGTGACTACACCAGTCTGCATTCCCACTAGCAATGCACGAGGGTTCCTTTTTTCTAGGATCCTGTCCAGCACTGGTTGTTTGTTGATTTGTTGACAATAACCATTCTGACAGATGTGATATGGTACCGCATCGTTGTTTTGATTTGTATCTCTCAGCTGATTAGTGACTTTGGGCATGTTTTCATGTGTCTCTTGGCCTTTCTTATGTCCTCATTTGAAAAGTATTTATGTCCGTTTCCCATATTTTGATTGGGTTGTTTTTATTTTATTATTAAGTTGTATGAATTCCCTGTAAATGTAGAGATTAAACCCTTATCGGAGATAACATTGGCAAATATATTCTCCCATGCAGTGGGCTCTCTTACTGTTTTACTGATGGTTTCTTTTGCTGTGTAGAAGCTTTATATTTTGATGTAGCCCCATTTGTTTGTCTTTAGTTTCCATTGCCCTAGGAGTTGTATCTGTTGAAGATACTGCTTCAGCATATGTCTGAGATTTAGCTGCCTATGGATTCCTCTAATCTTTTTATGGTTTCCTATCTTATGTTTAAGACCTTTATATCCATTTTGAGTTTATTTTTGTATATGATGTAAGTTGGTGGTCTAGTTTCACTTTTTTGCATTTATCTGTCCAATTTTCCCGGCACCATTTATTGAAGAGACTGCCTTGACTATTGTATATTCTTGCCTCCTTTGTCAAATATTAGTAAACTTTTTTTTTTACTGCAAAACTGAATTAAAATTGTGTGATTGGGTTTGTTACTTTGGGAAGGTCTCTAATCCTGCCGGTAGGAGACTGTAATGTTTGGAATAATTCAGTTAATAGAATTTTTAGGTGCTCACATGGAGCCAGGTTGGCTCTGCATCTTGGCTCTTCCATTTATTTATAGTACAATTGGGAGCAATTTGCTTTGCCTGTTTTGCCCATTACCTGTCTGAAATTTAAAGATATCCATTAGTATTATTTGCCATAATAATTCAAATATATCATAGCTCTTTCTCACTAAAAAGATATTTTAGCTATTAGTTTTGACATTTTTATTGGTACTTTATATATTTAATTGTACATACTTAAAGTACCAATGTAAACCTTTCTTAGTCAGATGGTTCGCTATGGGGAAATTCCAGCGGAATTCAGGGCTGCAGCAGCTGACCACCGCCAGGAGCTGATTGAAAGTATTGCTAATTCAGATGAGCAGCTTGGTGAGATGTTCCTGGAAGAAAAGATCCCCTCAATTTCTGATTTAAAGGCAAGTGCTCTCAAAATAAGTCATATTTGTGTGTGTGTGTGTGTGTGTGTGTGTGTGTGTACATATATATATATACTAGAGGCCCAGTGCACATGATATTCTTGCATGTGGGGTGGTATTTCAGTCCAGCCTGCACCCTCTCCAATCTGGTACCACTTGAGGGATTTTCGACTGCCCTCTCACAATCCAGGACTGCTGGCTCCCAGCCACTTGCCTGCCTACTTTCCTGATTGCCCCTAACTGCTTCTGTCTGCCAGCCTGATCACCCCCTAATCACTCCTCTGTCAGCTTGATTGATGTCTAACTGCTCCCTGTTTGTCCCCAACTTCCCTCCTCTGCCAATCTGGTCACCCCTTAACTGCCCTCCCTTGCAGGCCTGGTCCCTCTCAACTGCCCTCCCCTGCTGGCCATCTTGTGGTGGCCATCTTGTGTCCACATGGGGGCAGGACCTTTGACCACATGGGGCAGCCATCTTGTGTGTTGGAGTGATGGTCAATCTGCATATTACTCTTATATTAGATAGGATAGAGGCTTGGTGTACAGGTGGGGGCCAGCTGGTTTGCCCTGAAGGGTATCCTGGATCAGGATGGGGGTTCCCATGGGATGTGGGGCAGCCTGAACAAGGGGCCTGTAGTGGTTTGCAGGCCAGCCATGCCCCCTGGCAATCCAAGAGGAGGCCCTGATATCTGGAATTTATTTACCTCTACAATTGAAACTTCGTAGCCTGGAGTGGAGCCAAGCCTTCTGCTCACTCTGTGGTGGCAGCCATTTTTGTTGGAATTTATTTATCTTCTATAGTTGAAATTTTGTAGCCTTAAGCGGAAGCCTGGGCTGGCCAGGGTGTGTGGAAAGCTCTGCTTTCTCTATCACCAGAGAAACCCAAGCCTCCCTCCTGCTCACTCTGTGGCTGCAGCCATCTTGGTTGGGTTAATTTGCATACTCGCTCCTAATTGGTTTGTGGGCATGGCTGGTGGGTATAGCAGAGTGATGGGTTAATTTGCATATTACTGTTTTATTAGATAGTATATATATATTTTTCCTTTTGATTAATTCCCATTCAATATCTTTCCATTGATTTTTAGAGATGTGGAAGGGATGGGAAGAGACAAGAGAGAGAAACATTGGATGTGAAGGAGACACATCGATTTGTTGCCTCCCACAGATGCCCTTACCAGGGCCAGGAATTGAGCCTGCAACTGAGTTACATGCCCTTGACCACATACACCCCAACTGGAGATCAAACCCGCAACCGGAACATGTGTCCTAACTGAAATTCCAATCCAATGACCTTTCAGTGCATGGGATGATGCTCAGCCCCAAGTCATACCAGCCAGCGTTGCATACTATATATTTTTTTACCAAGTTAAAAATTAGTGACATTTCAAGAGTGTTAAAAGCAGCTTTCTATGTTTGAAAAAGGAACTATTTTGTTTTTTCTCCTTTGCTTTGAATTTTGATCTTAAGTTATAGAGGACTTACCTGATCCTAGTCTCCACTAAAGCCAATACTCCAAAGAATATTAATTTATTCACTTGTTGGTTTGTAATTTATCTGAAACACAGAAGTAATTTTTAAGAATGACTAATCTTTACTTTTTTTTTCTATTGTAGCTTGCAATCCGCAGAGCTACTTTAAGCAGATCATTTACTCCTGTGTTTTTGGGAAGTGCCTTGAAGAACAAAGGAGTTCAGCCTCTTTTAGATGCTGTTTTAGACTACCTCCCAAATCCATCTGAAGTCCAGAATTTTGCTTTGCTAAAGCAGGATGAGTAAGTCTTGGAAATTGATTCTTAGTTTATGCAGAAATACTTTAACATTTGTGCCCTATGAAAGAATGTAAGAATGATTCTTCTAATTATGTTGTATTGCTGTTATTTTTCATAATTTACAAAAACAACCACCATTTCTATTTGGGTAACAATTTTGGCATATATAAAAATATTTATTATACCACTTCCCATATTATATTTTACTTGTGAGTTAAAAGTGTGATATATTATCCCTCAAGATGTAAATCTTTAGAAAATTCCCTACCAGACCATTTCTGGGCGGTTTCCCCCCCGTTTCCTCTGATCCTATCACAATGTAGTACTGGTGTGCTTTTTCTCAGATAATAGTCTGATGAAACAAATTGATATCAAAGAAATATCAGTTGTTACATCTCACAGTTATATTTCTTTTATTTTAAGTGACTCAAAAGAGAAAACCAAAATCTTAATGAACTCCAACAGAGACAATTCCCATCCATTTGTAGGCCTGGCTTTTAAACTGGAGGTAAGTTGCTTGCTAATGCTATATAGAGAGATTTTCTTTTAAGCTTTTAATCCTATTACTAAATGACTCTTCTGACAGATTTGGCTATAAGTTTCTCTACTATTACTCTTTTTCCCTCCCTTTCCATACTGACTTTTTAGAAGGAAGTTACTATGCACATCTCATGCTCAACCTTCTTGAGGGAGCAGTATCTAGTTTTTTTATACTAGAGGCTCAGTGCACGAATTTGTGCACCAGTGGGATCCTTCGGCCTGGTCTTCTGGATCGGGCTGAAACTGACTTTCCAATATCCCCCAAGGGGTCCTGGATTGCGGGAGAGTGCAGGCCAGGCTGAGGGACCCCACCGGTGCACGATCAGGGCTGGGGTGGGACGCGGGAAGTTGGCCAGCCAAGAAGGGACCGTGGGAGGGCTCCAGGGCATGTCTGGCCCATCTAATTCAGTCCCGATCAGCTGGACCCCAGCAGCAAGCTAACCTACTGGTAGGAGCATCTTCCCCTGGTGTCAGTGTGCGTGATAGCTACCAGTCGATGGTTGAACGATCACTTAGGCTTTTATATATGTAGATATCAGTATGAGCTTATGGGTATTTATTTTTTACTTTGAGTTACAGTCAAGTAGTATGTTACTTATTTTGGTGCTAGATTGACTGATTTGGCCATTGTTGCTCTTTCACTTGGCTCCTGAGTCTCTGATTCTCCAGCATTTGCTTTCTGACTACTTTCTCACTTCCTGGCACTACAGGATGCTTCAGGCTTATCTGATATATTCCCTGCCCCAGCCCTAGAATCAGCCATTTCTTTAGGGGTCCTGGCTCCTTTTAAGAGAATGGTTTTAGAAACCAAGATTTGGTCACTGGGTATGTTTTTCATTGGGGTATTGTTGCTTTTGTTCATAATATTTTATGTGAGAAAATAGGCAGAAAAGTTGGAAGTATTAACATTGGTATAGATGGAATTATATTTTGGGAGTTTTTTCCTAGATTTTTATTTTTTAAATTTTACAATATAGTTCTTATTACCTCTAAAATGAGGAAAAAGTAATTTTAAATTAATAAGTACAAATAACATTGCAGTGACATTTAAAAATTTATTTAGGAATATTTTCTTAAGATCCCTAAAATAGCGATTATAGAATTAAAGGTATGGAAATATTAATATCTAATGATTTGTATTGCCACATTGTTTTCATACTTCTCAGAATTAATATATTAGATTATTTCAGTGATTCTTTTTTTTTGTTTAATATTTTATTTATATTTTACAGAGAAGAAGAGAGAGGGATAAAGAGTTAGAAACATCGATGAGAGAGAATCATCAACCAGCTGCCTCCTGCACACCCCCTACTGGGGATGTGCCCGCAACCAAGGCACATGTCCTTGACCGGAATTGAACCCAGGACCTTTCAGTCTGCAGGCCGACGCTCTATCCACTGAGCCAAACCGGTTTCGGCATCAGTGATTCTTTATTAGCAATAAATATTATTTATTAAGTTACTGCTGACTTCATAAATGAAATTATTTCATCTTAATTCCTAATGATAGAGAATGTTTTTTCATATACTTTTTTTATTATGCAATTGTATTTTCTCTTTTGTAATTATCTATTTTTCTAAAATGAGGATCTAAGTATTTTACTTATTTTTGTGTGAACTTCCTCTGATAAACATGATTTCAAAAACAATTTGAACTTTAAAATTTATATAGTCAAGTCTATCCGTCTTTGTCCTTAGTCATTCATTTATTCTTAACCTTAGAAACCCTCTTTTTAAAATAAAAAGACAACAGTAATCAAACACAACAGTAATCAAAACAGTAATTAAAAACAGAATTATTTAATATTTATTGTTCTTTTTCCAGTTTTTTTTTTTTTGGTGGGATTTTTTTTCCCCTTGTTAATCTAACTGGAATTTGATTTGCTGTGTGCTGTGAAGCGGGATCCAAAAGTTTCTCCAATCCAAGAACAGTTGTCCAGTTACCGGTTTTGAACAATACTTTTCCATTGACTATCATGCTTTATCATTATTGATAAATGAATTGAACATTTTAGAAATTTTACTATATTCTTTGAGTTGTTTAGTCTAATTTGTGCTCGTTCTATACTTTTTAAGTTTTGGAGTATTTAATATGTTTTTATATCAGTCTTAGTTTCTTTTCATTACCATAGTTTTTAAAAACTTTATCCATTCTTCTAAGTGGCTTTTAAAATCACGAATTAAATGTTTAAAATTTTATCTTGGGATTTTGATTACTGTTGTGTTAAATTAATATGGGAGCCATTGGCAACCTTTAAATATATACCTTGTTATTCAGGAGAAATTGATCCTTTTTAAAAAATATATATATATATTTTATTGATTTTATACAGAGAGGAAGGGAAAGAGATAGAAACATCGATGAGAGAGAGTGAGTCATCGATCAGCTGCCTCTTGCACCCCCCCTACTGGGGATATGCCCGCAACCAAGGTACATGCCCTTGACCGGAATCGAACCCGGGACCTTTCAGTCCCCAAGCTGACGCTCTATCCATTGAGCCAAACCGGTTTCGGCGAGAAATTAATCCTTAATTATTCATTTTATATTCAGTCACTTTACAAAACGCTTAATTGTATGGCTTTCCAGTTGATTATCAAAGTATTTTAAATGTCTTGCTGTTTCTAATGATGTTTTTGTTTCTTTACAATCATTATACCTTATTTTTATATATTTGTTAAACTGAACTTACAAAATAGTATTCGAAATAAAAGGATAATTCCTTACATAAATAATTTTCAAATTTTTTCTAATAACTTTTATTTCAGAGGAAGCACAAGTAGTATCTTGGTTTATGATACCAAAAAGAATAACACCATCGTTCAACTTACCTGTGTTGAAAGCTTCTAAAGTTGATAAGGGAATGTTTGGAGATAATTGTGAAATTTTCCTCCTGATTTTGATTTCTTTTTTATTCTTTCTGCCCTTACCCAATCTTGACTTCTAGGCAGGTCGATTTGGACAATTAACTTATATTCGAAGTTATCAAGGAGAGTTGAAGAAAGGGGACACCATCTGCAACACGAGAACAGGAAAGAAAGTGCGGGTGCAACGGCTGGTTCGCATGCATGCTGACATGATGGAGGCAAGTGCCTGTCACTGAGAGGTCAGAAATTCTCTAGCGCAGGTGAAAGAGATCTACCTTCTTGGTATTCTGAGCCCCACAAGAAAGCCACTTCTAATTGAATGTGTTTTCCTAGCTGCTGCTTTTTAGTTAGGTGTGCTGCAGTTTTGATGTTGGATTTTAGTATAGGCTAAATTAATAGATGTTAAGAACACAATTTATATCATTATTTGTGAGTTAGCTTGTGAAAGGTCAATTAGGTGTTCTGTATTTCCTCAATGGCCAAGGTTAAGGAGAAAGGTCAATTAGTTCCCTATGACTCAGAACCACAAATTGAACATTTTTTTCAAAGCCACCATTTCAAAGAGAATAATAGGTTTCTGGACAGTGAAACTGTGCTTCTCAAAAATAAACGAGAGTAGTAAACTCACATATAATTTCACACATTGTTCAGTGAATATACTTTCTAAAATATGGCAGGTCTGAAAGTTCTGTTTAACATTAAAGCTTTATATTTGTAGAACCAACCCCAAGAAGGGCCATAATAGTATTAGACTCCATCCGAAGATTTAAAACCTCCCAAGGTCTGGTCTGGGATATAAATTTTAGCTTGAATTCTTGAATTGGCTCAATCTGTCCTAGCTTTCTGTGGTCCACAAGGTGATTAGGCCTTGGTAGGAAACTGAGTGTGCAAGGTTTTCTCCTACTCTCACCCTTTCCCAATTCAGCGCTGTATTGCTGGGAGATTTATTAATCTGAGCAGAAGCTTAGTATGTTCAGTAATTTTTTTTTGGCCATAGCTTTTGTATCTCCTGAAAGATAAACAGGCAGTCTTTCAGAATTGGACAGAATTACTGTTTTGAGAAGTAGGCAGCAGGGGGCAGCCAGAAGGGTTAGGGATTGTCACAGCTGTTAAATAGGCCAGAAGCCAGGAGAATTGTACAGCTGTATAACCATTAAAGTAGAACACACATATACTTGCTCATTCACAGCCACAGCTGTTATGAATGAACTGTTCATATAAAGGACAAAAACAAGGAAGTTTAGAGGTACAATGCTTTGTTCTTCGACTTCCTGTTTTTTTAACCACTTGAATCGATAAGAAATTAAGATTATTTTAAGTAAAGTGGGCTCCATTCTCCTGCCTTTGTTTTCAAAACTTCCTTTGTAGGTTTTTCTTGTACACCTTTGTCATACACATCTCATTGTTTGACTGTGGCAACATACAGTACATGCTTTTTAAAAAAATATATATTTTTTATTAATTTCAGAGAGGAAGGGAGAAGGAGAGGGAAACATCAATGATGAGAGAGAGTCTTTTATCGGCTGCCAACTGAGGTTTGAGCCTGCAACCTGGGCCTGTGCCCTGATTGGGAATCAAACCATGATCTCTTGGTTCATAGGTCAATGCTCCAGTGCTCGCTTCAGCAGCACATATACATAGATCAGTGCTCCACCACTGAGCCACACTAGTTGGGCTATAGTGCATGCTTTTTAATTCCATAGAGATAACTTTAGAACTGTGAGATTCAGTTTTGTCAGTACTGCATCAGTAATGATGCCAAAACTCTGAGTTTTGTATTTAAAGTAAAATCTTGTCTGTTGAGATGTGGCTTAAATAAGGACCCAGTTTAAGGTCTGTTTTGCTGTGGTTGATTGTTGATGTTGCATTGGTGTGGCTAATTCATTCTTTATAAAATCCATGGAAAGATTCTGCCATATTTATGTGCAATGTGTTTATTGTCAGGTACTCTTTAGTCACCCTGTTCTGAATTGTATTACTTGTAAGTATCATTTTCATGTTATTTCTTTATATAGGATGTTGATGAAGTATTTGCTGGAGACATCTGTGCATTATTTGGCATTGACTGTGCTAGTGGAGACACATTCACTAACAAAGATAATAGTGGACTTTCTATGGTAAGTCACTTAATTTCAAAGCTGTGTTTCACTTGTGTCTCAAAGTCTCTATTTTTGTGACACATTTAACATTTCAGAAAAACAGCCACAAGAGTTTTCACTGAGTAGTGCTGCAGGCATCAAGTATAGATTGATTGTGGCTGTTTAAATGTCAGGTGTTCTGTGTAAATTAACTTACCTGGGTGTTTTTTAGTAAAGTCATTCCATGATTCTTCAACATTTAGTGTGGAGGGAAAATCTCCACTAGATGCACCTGACTGTGTAGCTCTGACTCTTCCCTGGGATCTTTTCCCATTGTGGGTACTTCTCTAATTTCTATCACCATCATTAGGCTGGTCCCCGTGGGGTGTTCCTTCCTTAGAAACTCAGCAGCCAGAGTAGACCATTCCCTCAGGAATTGTAAGACCAGACTAACATTTAGGCAGGCTTGGGGATCACATAACAGAAGGGCACCAAATGCAACTAGACATTCTGACTTACTGCAGACAACCTGCTCTGTGGAACTCATAGGTCTCTTTTCATCACTGAGGGACCCTGAAGAGAAGAGCATGCTCTTAAATACATGTAGGCCCTAGGAAAACCCTGACACTGGAAACTTACCTCTGTAAATGGAGAGCAGAGAAGCACTGAAGAAAGAGGCAGGCCACTCCATTCTTGCAACTAACAGAGTTCCTTAAGGGAACCTTACCTAGGAGGCACTTCTTGGGCAGCCGCAAGATGAAGTGAATAGTCTCCACCCTTCTGACAGGAGCCAGAAAATTACCATACGGGGTCAAAAGGGGGGAATAGTCACAGTTACTAGTACATGAATGTTACCTGGTGTGGAAATTACTTAACATGCATGACCAGGTCAGGACAACAACCTGTTCTGGGAACCAGCTCATTGCTTATTTATGTCAGAGTGAACATTAATTCCCGTCAGATAGTCTCTAAGGGGGGTTTGCGGTCAAGCAATCTCCGTTCTGGCCCAGTTCATCTCGTGGTCCAGACAGTGGTCACATCCTGGAATAGTCGGTCCTCCTCAAATGCTTAAGCAGTTCTTGCCTTTGAATTTGCTCACTTTCTATTTGTGCCCCTTTAGGAAAGCAGGCTGTGCTACAGTAAGACCCTCTACTGAATTCAGTAAAGAAAGAATATACTGTATGAATACTTAGGGGATAGGTAACTTCAGTGAACAAATTCACAATGGGTCATTTATGTCAGAATTGGTCCATTTATGTAAGAACAGGTTTCCTAGGTCATGTGACATGACAAATCCATAATTTTATAATTTAGTGTTTTTGCATAAAATATCCTCTAATGTCTGATTTTAATGTTGATTTAAGAAACTACAGAAGTCATAAATCTGTACAGGCTTTTCGGGGTTGTACATAAGAGGAATATTTATGAGTGTGATTATAAGGTTTTCTCTCCAGGCTTGGCATGAGCAACAAAAGACTGGAGACTGTGGGAAGTACTGAGGCTTTGAAGCAAGTAGTCCCTGGTTAGAGTCTCACCTCTGCTCTATATTACCCACTAGCCTTTGATCACATTACTTTATATTCTTTCCATGCCTTTAATATTTTATTTGTGTAGTGGAGGTAATATCTGCCTCTCAGAGTTGTGGTTGATTAAATGAGGTATCATGTATAAAGAGTCGAGTGCCCTTTCATAATAAATTTGATTAAATAACTTACCAGAAGATACCAACAGTAAATGTAGCTGCCAGCTGGTAAGAATTGCACATCTCAGCATTTGGATTTATTAAATGATTACGTTAAACTGAAAGTGTCAATAAACTTAAGGGTCTTAAACAGTAAATAAATACTTTATTTTTTGTTGTTTTGGAAGGGAGGAGATCATATAAGTGGGCACTTTTATTAAAATATTACATTAATATATTCATTTACTTAATGCAGACAGACCAAGATATATATTGTCTAGCCTAAAGATATTTAGTGCTTTTGTTCTTTGTAAAGTAGAACATTAAAATGAATCCATCCCTGACTCTGACCCATAGAGTGCTATATTTGAATTCTTCTCTTTTTAAACAATATTTTAGGAGTCAATTCATGTTCCTGATCCCGTCATTTCAATAGCAATGAAGCCTGCTAACAAGGTAGGAGTTTGATTTAACACTCAGTATATCACAATAAAGACTTGAGCTCTTTCATCTGTCTCCACAGTGCACATGGTACCTTGTGATAACCAGAAATCTTATGGTCTCTATTTCCTCTTTTGGTGTGGAGAAGCATGGGACTTGGTTAGAAAGTCTGTAAGGAGGATTCTGTAAAAGGTTGGGGGTTTCTGGGGGACCTTGCTAAAGGTGGCAGCCTCTACCTTGACTTTTCCAAACAAGTCCCAGCTCCCCCATGTTTTGCTGGAATCTCTATGTTTAGTCTTTAGCCCCGAACTTAAAGAAACATGAGCTTTCTCAAGGATACTTACCCGCTGATTGTATCTAGAGGTTAATTTAAGTTCAAGCTGTTGTTACAATAGAAGCCTAAAGAGGCAGGCAATTGGAGCTATTTTGGTTCGTAAAGTCAAACAAGCCCCTTAGCCTTCTCGTTCACAGAAATGAGTGTTGGAGGAATCTATTCATCCGTCGCGCAGGGTCTGCTGGTCAGCCCCGGCATTTTGGTATTGAGATCACCTTTTATATAAAATTTACCAGTCATCCAGTAGTAGTTGCTCCTCAGTATGTTGAAGAATTAATGGTATTAAAGTATTCACCAGACTGTGCTTAATCACACTTTACTAAGTAAAGGTGTAACATTTGCTCCAGAATGGTAAGTTAATTTCCTAGATTCAGATCATAAAGGGATGGAAGAGAGGAAATGAGCATTTGTCCTAAGTTGTAGAGAAACCTCACTTTAAAATACTTTAGAATATTGCATGGATTAACTGCCTCATGAATTATAACACATCTCTAAATTTGTGGTAGTTATAAAAGTCTGATTATAACATGGAGAGCCTGCAAATAAGACTGTTTTCTCACTTCCATACAAGATTATGATTGGATTTGATATCATTTAGCTTTTTCCAAAGCCAAGATTACTTGAATAAGTTCCGTATTCCCATTAGCTTGCCCTTAGAATTAGTCCTGATCTTGAACTGGAATCTTTTAGTTCTTAATGAATGATTTTGATATGTCTTAGTTTTGACATTCATAGGAATCATGTTAATATGGTTTATTGAAATGAACTCATTCACACATTGAGTGAACATTTATGACCTCCTGTCATCTGGGAAATGTCATTTATAGAACATACTCTGGTTTGTCTTATGGATGCATTAACAGCTTCTACTTTTATTTTGAGGAACTTGAGGTTTTACAGACCCTTTTCATTGTAGAAAGGAGAATGTTGGGGTGGCAAGAAACATTAAATTACTCCATCTCAGAAATCTGAGGGAAGGCAAGTCTTATACCTGATGCCACAGTTTGTTCTGAGTGTTTTGTTAAACTTTTTGCTTTTCCCTTCAGAATATACAGAGCTAGAAGGTAAAGATGTAATGCTCTTCATTCCTAAATTCAGAGTTTATATGAGACTTTTGTCTTGATAGTTATAATAATAATGGAGGGAAATCAAATTATCAATAATCCAAAAGGTGGTTTTGGTTTGTTGGTTGGCTTTTTTGGTGTCTCGGGATTATTTGCTTGCTGGAGCAAATTAAGTTAAATGAAGAAATCACTGCACAAAGCTATGAATCTCAGTAGTGGAGGCAGGGCTGATCTAGTAAGTTGAGAGTGCCTGCAGGCGAGTGCAGGGGAAAGGGAAAAGGACTTTGGAGATAGACTAACCCAGGATTCATTCTCAGCTTTGCCATGCACTGGCTGTGTAGCCTTGAGCAAGTCAGTTATCTGTACCTAATTTCCTCACCTGTAAAATGTGGCTGATTCTATCTTGCAGCATTGTGGTTAGAGTTTGAAGTAACATATACAAAATGCATGACACAGCTCCAGGCACATGTAATATCTATTAATGTTGGTGATTCAGGATGTGTTCATTTTCTGTTGCTGTAAAAAATTACCACAAACTTTGTGTCTTAAAACATCACAAATGTGTTATTTTATAGTTGTGTAGGTGAGAAATCTGATACGGTTCTTCGTGGGCTAACATCAAGATATTGGCAGGGTTCCTTTCTGCAGCCTCTAGGGGACAATTTATTTCCTTGTTTACTCAGATTGCAGGAAGAATTCAGCTCCTGTGAATGCAGGGCTGGGGTTCCCATTCCTTGCTATTCCTAGCTCCTAGAGACTGACCCCCTTCTCCTGTCTTCAGTGCCAGCAACAGTGAAATGAGTCTTGTGCTTTAGATATTTCCTGCCTTTTTCCCTCTTCACATCTCTTTCACCTACCCTTCTGTATTTCTCTTCCATTTTTTAAAAAGCTGATGTGATTACATTGGGCCCACCCAAATTGTTCAGGTCTGTGACCTCAATCACATCTGCAAAGTCCCCTTTACCATGTAAAGTAGCATTCGCAGGTTTGGGAGGGATTGGGGCATATCCTCAGAAGGCCATTATTCTGCTTACCACATGAGGAGATTACATCTAAGGAGAATAAAGATGCATGAAACCACATCCAAGCAGATTGTTTTGAAAGTCTCAATGCAGCATTTGCCTGACTGTTGGTCTTAACTGTCCTCTTGAGTCTACAATAGAATCTTGGTAAACATGCTGATTCCTTTGATTATGTAACAGTAACACACATTCTACTTTCTACTCTATAGGCAATTTTCCACAAAGGAACAGTTTTTGTCAATATAATAGGAAAGGGCATAGAGTTAAGTCTTGGATTCTTATATCTTGGTATGCTTGCTATCAGCTAGCAGTATCCTCCCTATGTGCTGTGTGGGGTCCACACTCACATGTTCAGAAGGCATGGCCTACGAACTAGATGGTAGAGTATCTTTACTTCTTCACTACATATGTATTTAATTTCTTTCAGTAAAGTTCTTTCAACCGTCTCATTGCATATCATGATTGGTAAAATATGTAATGACTTTTTTTTTTTAAAGAATGATCTGGAGAAATTTTCAAAAGGTATTGGCAGGTTTACAAGAGAAGATCCCACATTTAAAGTCCACTTTGACACCGAGAGCAAAGAGACAATTGTATCTGGAATGGGAGAATTACATCTGGAAATCTATGCTCAGGTAATGAATAGCATGGAAGTTAAATTAAGTTCACTTTATGTCTGTGCTTTGTTAAGAACAGAAGACAATAATTCTAATGTCCATAACTAATAGCGGTTGTTCAAGCTCACTTTTTGTTTATATCCAGGTTTGGTATACTGCTCCCTCTACCAACTATTACAAATTAAATATTTTTGATCTCTGAATCTTTTTATTTGTAAAACATGGCAGACTTCAGAATCAAGGGGCAGAGGACTTGCAATTACACCATCCATCCATCCATCCATCCCTAGGTCATGGTTAGTTTGGTTAAGTATATCCTGGTCTCAGCCTTAGGAAGACAACCTATAGTAAGAAACTTGCTGAGAATGTTGGCCCACCAATTCTCTCTCTTCAGGATGTTTCTGTGTGTGTGTGTGTGTGTGTGTTTTAAATATATATATCTTTATTGATTTCAGAGAGGAAGGGAGAGGGAGAGACAGAAACATCAATGATGATAGAGAATCATTGACCGGCTGCCTCCTGCACATCCCCTTCTGGGGATGGAGCCCGTAACCCAGGCATGTGCCCTTGGCTGGAATCGAACTTGGGACCCTTCAGTCCACAGGCTCATGCTTTCCACTGAGCCAAACCAGCGAGGGCGATTTCTTTTTGTTTTATTCTCTAAGTCAATACTTGGAGATTATAATGTAGATAAAAGAATGGATAGATGGGAAACGTACTTTCCTAGGAATGATCTGTATATCTGAATGAAAACAAGATATATGATTTAAGTTGAAAAATTCTGGTTGAGATCACACCTTTGAAGTTGAGAGAATACAGAATTCTGATAACAGATTCATATACAATTCCAGTATATATGTAATAAGATGAAGTTTTAGTGGATACATTAATTGGATATATGTGTAAATTAGTCTAAGTTAAAATTCACTTATATAGCAGTTTGTATTTAATATCATGAATCTAATTCTTATAAGATACTTGAATGATGTATTTGCTTACCTATTATGTTTGAATGCTTCTAATTAAGATTCTTAGAATGTTTCTTGTTTCTGTTTATTTTTTAAATTTAAATATACCAAAGAAATTATTTCTCCTGCTATTTTTAGAGGATGGAAAGAGAATATGGCTGCCCTTGTATCACAGGAAAGCCAAAAGTCGCTTTCAGAGAAACCATTACTGCCCCTGTCCCGTAAGTATGCAACACAGTCAAACCTATTATGAGGGTGAAAATTGAAGCTTTTTATTGTGGGATATACATAGTACTATTACTGTTATTAAGACACTTGTACATCATGACTCTCTTTATTACGGAAGCTATATAGCTCTGTGCTGTCTGTAGCTAAGACATTTATACAGAGTGACGTTAGGGGTTTGTTTGGCCCCTTCAGCTAGGTATCAGTGAAGGTTGACATACACATCATTAGTAAGCATACTGACACTTCATCCAACGTTGGGGGTGAGTCTTCTTTCATTCCAGTTGTGCTTCCTTTGGCAGACGGCTATTGTGTTTTACTTTAGTGCCATATTGTGGATGCCAGAGAACTTGCATTTGCCAAGGAATAATCTCCTGCAAGTAAAGGAAACTAATGCTATGATAAAATTCAGAAAACCCTTAAGAAAACAGTGTTGGGTTTATGTCTTGTTAGAAACAAAATAGTTCTCATAAAGAAGAGCACAATAGTTCTCATAAAGAAGAGCACAAAATAGTTCTCACAAAGAAGAGCACAAAAGTGTAAATATTCTTTAACCTGGTGCCTATTGAATATACGTGAATTCTGATTTAGAGTCAAAATTAATACAGCATACTGTGGTTATAAAACAGGTATCAATTTTCAAAGTGGCATCAAATAAAAGTAAGTAAATGGCACTTTACCTGGGATGCAATGTCATGAAGTAGGATGGTGTAGTCTAACTCAATGAAGTCATCATTTCTTTGCTATAATAAATTAAAAACCTGGTGTATAAAACAATATCATTGGCAAAACGACATTTTAATTTCAAAAAACCACGTTTCATTAGATGATTATAATACTCCCACTTAAGTAAAAATAAAAATTGAATGTCATAATTTAGCCTGTCAGAAGAACTTTCTCTTACAAATGTTTTCTTCAAACTACAATTTAAAATTATGATTTTTCATTTATTACTCTATTTTCTGTTCTTAGTTTCCTAGTTGTGGTAGCTACTTAAGAATATTACAGTCTATAATTGGTCATTTAAAATGCCTTAATATTTGCATTGTTCAGAAAAGCACAATAAGTGTTTACATGCATGGAAACCAATTTTATCATAGAAATTCTCTTTAAAAAGATTCAGTTGGTTGGAGTGTTCTCTTATACACCAAAAGCTGCAGGTTTGATCCTGGTCACGGAACACGTGGGAGGCAACTAATTGATGTTTCTCCTTTCATATCAATGTTTCTCTCTCGTTCCCTTCTTTCCTCTCTAAAATCAAGAAAAACATATCCTCAGGTAAGGATAAAAAAACAAACACAGAAAACACCTGAAAATAGTAAAATGTAGTGAGTGTAATTCTCTGATTTTGTAATTAAAGCTTTAATCTGTGCTTATGCTTTATGCATATAAAGTATTAATACCATCAGCAACACAAATATTGCATCTACATAGGTAAAATCACAGTCACCAGAGACTCTTTAGGGCTTACATAATCAATGTACTGAAATAAGCCCTGGACTCCAAGCAGCACGGGTTCCTGTAACCCCTTTGGTGAACGGCAATTATAAATGTGACCCCAGGGTCAAATAAAAGCATATAATTATCTCCTTACAGTATCCTGAGTATATCAGCAAAGAATGTCCTTTAAAAGATATGGTAAAAATCAGTATTAAGTTTTCTTACATGTTGGGTCTTAATAGGTAAGATATCCTCCTATATAATAAAAAGGTAATATGCAAATCAATCAAATGATGGAATGACCAGTCGCTATGACATACACTGATCACCAGGGGGCAGATGCTCAATGCAGGAGCTGCCCCCTGGTCATCAGTGCTCTCCCACAGGAGCACTGCTCAGCCACAAGCCAGGCTGAGGGCTGGTGAGCACATCAGCCCACCTCCATGGCAGCTGGCAGCGTTTAGGCCCATGGGGAGTGGGCCTAAGCCATACTCGGACATCCCCCAAGGACTTCTGGACTGAGAGAGGGCACAGCCAGGCTGAGGGACTGCCCACCCCCCCCCCCCAACGAATGTTGTGCACTGGGCCTCTACTATAATATATATAGCCTGAAGCACTGGTTAAACTTTTCCGTTGTGATTTTCATTAATGCCTTAAAACTACATTTGGTGAAGGGTCATAGGAGTCTTCTTTCATAAGAACTACTAGCCCCGTCTTTGTGCATATTTTGCTATTAAGACATGGCTTGAAAAATTATGATTATGTAGCCTCTCTAACCTGGACCAGTTTTGCAGTTATTTGAGGCCTCAGTAATCTGTGCTGTAATCAAGACTGAGGTCTACAAAAATGAACTAGAAAAGGGCACTTTCTTAAAATGTTGTAATATTTATGTTAGGTATTTGACACCACACTCGGAGTGCTGTAATAGAGTGCCTATCGGTATCTGGTAACTGTTGCAGAAGCCTTTGGAGTGAAGCTGCTCCAAGTGCTGCCTGCAGTTATCAACACGCTGGAAAGTCTGTCCTTTCTGGAGCCAGCAAATTGTTGTGGTGGTTTCTTTGCACTGTCTTCTTTCCATTAGATACCACAAATTGACTTTTTTTTTTTCTTTCCTTCTGCTTAACCCCTAAATAAAGCTAAAATCAAGGAATTTATTTTTATCTCTTTAAGGTCTAGAAAGAGGCAGTTCAGAATAGTCGGACTTAAGAAAACACAAGGCTAGCAACAAGTAAGATAAGAGGTTGTAAACTATGACTCATTGGGTTATAAAAGAAAATTACATACAGCAAGCTCCACAAAATGTTAATATTTTTGGTCTGGCTGATCCCCAGGGGAGAAAACGGCAGCCATGTTTCTAAGAGCTCTGGCACTACCCTTTCAGTAGAAGAAAACAGCAAAGGTAGTTTCAGTATTGCATGGCTAGTAATTTGCATACAAAACAGGTTGCCAAACGAAATAATCTGTATTAAGCTGAGCACAGAACCTGGGTGCCAAATTATTTATAACAACACTTCACTCTTGAAACTGCAGCTTCACTTTTCACCGGCCTTGACTGTAACCGACCTCTCCTTCAAAATACTTGGTACACTATTTTCAATGCAAAATTACTAATGGGGCAACTAATGATCTAATAATGAATCAGAACACTTTCAGTAAACATTAACCTTATTACAAGTGAATTTTATAACTTACCACTTGCTTGACAGTTTGAATTTTTACCATTTTATACCATGTGTTTTCAGTAGAATTCTGCCATATTATATAACCACAGGCAACCCAGGCTAAATGTCGGATTGGCTTCATTGCTGGAGATATATTTCCAAAACTGTCTGGAGAGGGAAGCATGATAAATGGAATTACTTTATACTTACAGTACGAACCATTTACAAAGTCTAAATTCTAAATCATGTCTTAGTTTCCTTCAAATGTATTTAGAAAATAATTCAATTAGGCCATAGGTCTATAAAGTTTCAAGAGATTTTTGTTGTTGTTGAATTAGATTGGTAATCGGTATTTTCACAAAAGCCAATGTTTCTGACATAATATTAATACCTAATAATTCTGAGCATAGATCATTGATATTCATCTTAAAGTTGAAAAAAATATTGCCCCATGCCATATTTATATACCTGGAATATTTTGTGCTTCTAGTGGTTCCTTCATGGACTTGAGTTTTTGATAAAGTTTGTTATCTTCTTCATCTGGGTTCTTTCCAATTTCTCCTTCAAATGTGAAGTTGACTTCTGGTGCAGTATCTTGTCCCATTGGAGGGTAAAGAACTTCAGCTGTGCAGTTCACTATCACTTGCTGTTTTGAGACATTTTGCAAAAGATCTTTACGTGTAGATCCATTACTATTGTTCTGAGATATAACAATTAAAGCATATGCCCCTAACAGTGTTGTTTCAGTCTTGACTTCAGAGTGCCTACTCCAGAGGTAATCTACTTAGGGCTGGCTTAGTAATTTTCTTAGATATATCTAACATACATCTAAATGTGGTCTCATTATCTTTTAAATTTGTCTTAAAACTTGGAATATATTTCAGTATTGAGGTGTCCATTTTCAATGCTAGATTTTAGTGACTATATCACAACTCCAATCTCTGGTTACTTTTTGTTGTTAATTCTCACCAGGGCATATTTTCCCATTGATTTTTAGAGAATGGAAGAGAGAGATGGAGAGAGAAATGTGGATGTGAGAGAGACACATTGATCGGTTGCCTCCCATATGTGGCCCAACCAGCACCAGGCATCCAGCCTGCAGCTGAGGTATGTGTCCTTGTCCAAATAGAACCCAGGATCCTTCAGGCTGATGCTCTATCCCCTGAGCCAAACCGGCTATGGCTCTGGTTACTTTTTAATTCTTTCCATTACTCTTACTCTCTGCTCCAGGAATAACAGTAATTTTCTCAAACTCAGATACAGCAATCTGCATCTAGATGTAAAATGAGAAGATTGCAACATTGGTTCTGCTTTGTAAAGATGGTTGTCTAGCAGTTCAGATGCCTTTTAATGAATCTCTTTATGTTAACTTGTATCTCTTTTCTTCTGAATATGCTCAACCAAAGGGCAAGCTTTTTTAAATTTCAAGATGGTTATGGTACAAACTGCAAGTCCTTTTAAATTTGTCTCATTAATAATTTGAGAAGTATATAACAATTTCCCTCCCCCATTACTGAAAGATTCCCATGTGAACATGACAATATCAGTTGGCCATTATATTGCTCATAAATATCTAAAAACACTTGCTTTCTTTAATTACAAGAAATTAAACTCAGAATGAGAAAAAAGTCAAAGAGGTGATGATTGGAGAGTAATTTATTTAATATTTGGCATGAGATCATATTGCCTTATGAGTACATAGCATTTTAAAAGGAATTTACTTGAAGTATATAGAGTCTACTTTTTAAAAAGCTCAATAGAATTACTTCATGTATCTCAGAATACACAAAAAAGTAAAAACTGACCCTTATATGTCTTTTTTTTTTTTTTTCAAGGCAGGGTTTCACAACTTACAAATTTAACCACTTACAAAATACAAATTAATCCTATGATTT